CGATATTGCATCAGGATCATGCTCAGCGGGACCATCCCCCCGAGGCTGCACCTTCTTTTTCCCTCCAGCCGGCCGTGACACGGTTGGATTGGGCCGCCCTCGCAGGGCATAATAGAGTAAGACACGCTCTGAATGGTTAGCTAGGTTACAGGTTGAACGGAGCTTGTGGCCCAGTTCTGCAGAGGCGGACCTGTTCCGGGCGAGCCTGACCGTCTTGGCCCCAAACTGTTTGCGCGCACAGCTCCATGAGGCAGAGGTCTCCCAGCCTACCGCACAGCACCAGGACCATTCAATAGTATACATTGATGGTAATGGAGCCAGATTTGCGATATCGCATCAGGATCATGCTCAGCGGGACCATCACCCCGAGGCTGCACCTTCTTTTTCCCTCCAGCCGGCCGTGACACGGTTGGATTGGGCCGCCCTCGCAGGGCATAATAGAGTAAGACACGCTCTAAATGGTTAGCTAGGTTACAGCTTGAACGGAGCTTGTGGCCCAGTTCTGCAGAGGCGGACCTGTTCCGGGCGAGCCTGACCGTCTTGGCCCCAAACTGTTTGCGCGCACAGCTCCATGAGGCAGAGGTCTCTCAGCCTACCGCACGGCACCAGGACCATTTAATAGTATACATTGATGGTAATGGAGCCAGATTTGCGAAAATGCATTGGTAGCATGCTCAGCGGGACCATCCCCCCGAGGCTGCACCTTCTTTTTCCCTCCAGCCGGCCGTGACACGGTTGGATTGGGCCGCCCTCGCAGGGCATAATAGAGTAAGACACGCTCTAAATGGTTAGCTAGGTTACAGCTTGAACGGAGCTTGTGGCCCAGTTCTGCAGAGGCGGACCTGTTCCGGGCGAGCCTGACCGTCTTGGCCCCAAACTGTTTGCGCGCACAGCTCCATGAGGCAGAGGTCTCCCAGCCTACCGCACAGCACCAGGACCATTCAATAGTATACATTGACGGTAATGGAGCCAGATTTGCGATATTGCATCAGGATCATGCTCAGCGGGACCATCCCCCCGAGGCTGCACCTTCTTTTTCCCTCCAGCCGGCCGTGACACGGTCGGATTGGGCCGCCCTCGCAGGGCATAATAGAGTAAGACACGCTCTAAATGGTTAGCTAGGTTACAGCTTGAACGGAGCTTGTGGCCCAGTTCTGCAGAGGCGGACCTGTTCCGGGCGAGCCTGACCGTCTTGGCCCCAAACTGTTTGCGCGCACAGCTCCATGAGGCAGAGGTCTCCCAGCCTACCGCACAGCACCAGGACCATTCAATAGTATACATTGACGGTAATGGAGCCAGATTTGCGATATTGCATCAGGATCATGCTCAGCGGGACCATCCCCCCGAGGCTGCACCTTCTTTTTCCCTCCAGCCGGCCGTGACACGGTCGGATTGGGCCGCCCTTGCAGGGCATAATAGAGTAAGACCCGCTCTGAAGGGTTAGCTAGGTTACAGGTTGAACGGAGCTTGTGGCCCAGTTCTGCAGAGGCGAACCTGTTCCAGGCAAGCCTGACCGCCTTGGCCCCAAACTGTTTGCGCGCACAGCTCCATGAGGCAGAGGTCTCCCAGCCTACCGCACAGCACCAGGACCATTCAATAGTATACATTGATGGTAATGGAGCCAGATTTGAGGTATTGCATCAGGTCATGCTCAGAGGCGGACCTGTTCCGGGCGAGCCTGACCGTCTTGGCCCCAAACTGTTTGCGCGCACAGCTCCATGAGGCAGAGGTCTCCCAGCCTACCGCACAGCACCAGGACCATTCAATAGTATACATTGATGGTAATGGAGCCAGATTTGCGATATTGCATCAGGTCATGCTCAGAGGCGAACCTGTTCCGGGCGAGCCTGACCGTCTTGGCCCCAAACTGTTTGCGCGCACAGCTCCATGAGGCAGAGGTCTCCCAGCCTTCCGCTCGGCACCAGGACCATTTAATAGTATACATTGATGGTAATGGAGCCAGATTTGCGATATTGCATCAGGATCATGCTCAGCGGGACCATCCCCCCGAGGCTGCACCTTCTTTTTCCCTCCAGCCGGCCGTGACACGGTTGGATTGGGCCGCCCTCGCAGGGCATAATAGAGTAAGACACGCTCTGAATGGTTAGCTAGGTTACAGGTTGAACGGAGCTTGTGGCCCAGTTCTGCAGAGGCGGACCTGTTCCGGGCGAGCCTGACCGTCTTGGCCCCAAACTGTTTGCGCGCACAGCTCCATGAGGCAGAGGTCTCCCAGCCTACCGCTCGGCACCAGGACCATTTAATAGTATACATTGATGGTAATGGAGCCAGATTTGCGATATTGCATCAGGTCATGCTCAGAGGCGAACCTGTTCCAGGCGAGCCTGACCGTCTTGGCCCCAAACTGTTTGCGCGCACAGCTCCATGAGGCAGAGGTCTCCCAGCCTACCGCACGGCACCAGGACAATTTAATAGTATACATTGATGGTAATGGAGCCAGATTTGCGAAAATGCATTGGTAGCATGCTCAGCGGGACCATCCCCACGAGGCTGCACCTTCTTTTTCCCTCCAGCCGGCCGTGACACGGTTGGATTGGGCCGCCCTTGCAGGGCATAATAGAGTAAGCCACGCTCTGAATGGTTAGCTAGGTTACAGGTTGAACAGAGCTTGTGGCCCAGTTCTGCAGAGGCAAACCTGTTCCAGGCGAGCCTGACCGTCTTGGCCCCAAACTGTTTGCGCGCACAGCTCCATGAGGCAGAGGTCTCCCAGCCTACCGCTCGGCACCAGGACCATTTAATAGTATACATTGATGGTAATGGAGCCAGATTTGCGATATTGCATCGGGTCATGCTCAGAGGCGAACCTGTTCCGGGCGAGCCTGACCGTCTTGGCCCCAAACTGTTTGCGCGCACAGCTCCATGAGGCAGAGGTCTCCCAGCCTACCGCACGGCACCAGGACCATTGAATAGTATACATTGATGGTAATGGAGCCAGATTCGCGAAATTGCAGTGGTAGCGTACTCAGCCAGACCCAGGAACATGGCCCGGCAGCCTCGGACCTTCCCACCCTTAGGTCTGACTACAAAACGGCTCGCCGCTCACTTGACCCTGATCAGCCCATCAAGGGGGCACAAGGTACTCAACAGACCTGCAAGGCCTTAGGGCCGCTTAGGATTTGGGTCACAGGAAGACCTACTGCCAGGGGCTTGTCCTGTTGGTGGAAGGTAGTTGCAAGGTGATTGATGGGGCGGGAGAGTTTCAGGGCAAGTCGGTTACAAGATCCAGGTGTGGGGGCCTCGGACCTGCGGGGCCTTAGGGCCGCTTGGGATTTGGGTCACGGGAAGACCTACCGCCAGGGGCTTGTCCTGTTGGTGGAAGGTAGTTGACAAGGTTACTGATGGGGCGGGAGAGTTTCAGGGCAAGTCAGTCACAAGATCCAGGTGTGGGGGCCTCGGACCTGCGGGGCCTTAGGGCCGCTTAGGATTTGGGTCACGGGAAGACCTACTGCCAGGGGCTTGTCCTGTTGGTGGAAGGTAGTTGACAAGGTGAATGATGGGGCGGGAGAGTTTCAGGGCAAGTCAGTCACAAGATCCAGGTGTGGGGGCCTCGGACCTGCGGGGCCTTAGGGCCGCTTAGGATTTGGGTCACGGGAAGACCTACTGCCAGGGGCTTGTCCTGTTGGTGGAAGGTAGTTGACAAGGTGAATGATGGGGCGGGAGAGTTTCAGGGCAAGTCAGTTACAAGATCCAGGTGTGGGGGCCTTGTCGTGGTCCAGCCTAAGGGGCTGGGGGTTTCATGCCGCCACGCCTTGTTCCTGTAAGTGACCTGCCTTGTAACTCTACGACCCTAAGGTTCACCATGTGGAGCATCTTGCCCCAACTGGACAGGCCTGTCAGAGGAGGTTTTGTGACGGGCCAAATCGTAGTGCAGCCTAAGGGGCTGGGGGTTTCATGCCGCCACGCCTTGTTCCTGCAAGTGACCTGCCCTGTAACTCTACAACCCTAAGGTTCACCATGTGGAGCATCTTGCCCCAACTGGACAGGGCTGTCAGAGGAGGTTTTGTGACGGGCCAAATCGTAGTCCAGCCTAAGGGGCTGGGGGTTTCATGCCGCCACGCCTTGTTCCTGTAAGGGACCTGCCCTGTAACTCTACAACCCTAAGGTTCACCATGTGGAGCATCTTGCCCCAACTGGACAGGCCTGTCAGAGGAGGTTTTGTGACGGGCCAAATCGTAGTGCAGCCTAAGGGGCTGGGGGTTTCATGCCGCCACGCCTTGTTCCTGTAAGTGACCTGCCCTGTAACTCTACAACCCTAAGGTTCACCATGTGGAGCATCTTGCCCCAACTGGACAGGGCTGTCAGAGGAGGTTTTGTGACGGGCCAAATCGTAGTCCAGCCCAAGGGGCTGGGGGTTTCATGCCGCCACGCCTTGTTCCTGTAAGGGACCTGCCCTGTAACTCTGCAACCCTAAGCTTCACTGTGTGGAGCATCTTGCACCAATGCCGCCATTTGAGCGCAGGCATGCCCGCATGTCCGAGGCTGTGGTCAGCAGCAGAGCATGGTGGGCCTTCTTTGCTCCTTCCCTGGTGTAGCCCTCTCTCTCACTCTCTCCCTCTGCAGCCTACCTTCCCCTCTCACACAATGGACCTTGTGGTAACCTTGCTCCAGCCTCTGTGCTCCCTGCGCTAGTGGGCCAACGAGGTGTCCTGAGAGCAAGATAAACGTTCATGTTTTGCTTCTCTCTCCGTCTCTCTCTCTCTCTCTCTCTCTCTCCTCCGTCTTTTCTCACCTCCTGTCTGCAGAGCCCAAGTCGCTTCCAGCTGCCCTCCCAAACCTGAGCTTGTATTTTGACCTCGTTGCAAGTACTCAGTCTCTAGCTGGAGCTGCGCTCCTCGTGCGAGGCTCGCAGAAAGCGAAAGGGGCCCGGCCTTGAGACAGCTTACAGGGCACCGTGCACGGCACCAAAGGCATTGCGGAGAGAAAAGAAACGGTGGCTACGGCAGGGCAAAGCCAAAAGATGTCATGGACCTCGACCAGCTTGGTCACGCCGCGTCGACAACCTCGCCGCTCCACCGGTCCCCGAGCCTCCAACCCTCGTGATCATCTTGCCAGTCTGCCGATGCGGCTGCCCGTCGAGCGCGCGACAGGGCGGGGTCGGACCGCCAGAAGCGCACGAGGTTGTCGTCCGAGCAGGTGGCGAGCTGTGCACACGCAAAGAGGAATCAGTCGAAGCCCATGAAGGGGCACGTGCGCCCACAGTGCTCTGTTCTGCCCCTCAGGACAGAACAGACAGGACGCAGGTAGGTGGGAAGGAGGAGGAAAGCGGGACGCACCGACTCGTGGCCCCAGTCCAGCCCGCTCACCTCGCGCGTGTGGCCCTTGACCCTGACGGCCTCTCCTGCCGTACCCTGCCCCTCCGTGTCCCACATGAAGACGTCGCCCGAGCTCGAGCCCGTGGCGAGGTAGCGCGAGTCGGGCGAGACGGCGCAGCGGATGTAGAAGGTCGAGTAGCGCGCTTGCGGCGAGTGAAAGGTGGCGAGGGGGGCGGCGTGGGTGAGGTTGGTGGCCGAGTAGGCGTACACGCTGCGTGAGGGAGAGAGAGCGTGGTCAGGGACTGTGCGCCCTCTCGGGCGCGCGCCGACATGGCCGACGAGGGAAGGGACGTACTGCGAGTCGGTCGAGAGCGCGTACAGCTTGCGGCCGTCCGGGGCGAGCGTCATGTGCGAGATGCCGTGCGGGCGAGCCGACATGGTGCTGAGGAGCGCGTCGTCGTTCGTCTCGAAAGTCGCCGGGTTGATGCGCCGGCTGTGCGACCGCCGCAAGTCCCAGACCTTGATCGAGCTGTCGGCGAGAGGGACACGATGTCAGGACGAACGTCGCACAGGCAGGGCAAGGAGGGGCAGGGAGAAAGAGGGAGGGACGCACCCGTCGGCCGAGCCCGCCGAGGCGAGCAGGTTCTCCTGGTGGTACATGTACGCGACGGACGTCACACTCCTCGTGGCCGAGCGCTGCTGCGTGCACGAGGACCGAGAGTCAGCGCTGACAAGGATGAGGCAGAGAGGGAGAGAAGGTGGACGCACCCCTTTTGCCGTCTTGCCCCGCACGCCGTGCGCGTTCTTGATGTGGTTGACGGCGCCGACCGCGCTCGCGCCTTCGATGTCGACGTCGGCGTAGCCCTTGACGCGCGTGTCCCACACCCGGATCGTGCCGTCGCGCGAGGCCGTCGAGAGCATGTCTGCGCGGCGAGGTCGGTCAGCGACGACGCGAGGGGGGCGAGAACGGAAGGAAAGGGGACGCACAAGGGTTGTGCGGGTCCCACGTGATGTTCTTGACGGTGCCAGTGTGGCCGGCGAGGACGCCGATGCAGGCCTGCGTCTCGGTGTCCCACAGGTGGACGGTCTGGTCGCCGCTCGCGGTGGCCTGTGGACGAGGGGAGGATCACGTGTCAGTGCGAGGGTACGGATCGAGACGCAGAGAAAGATGGGCGCACGATGAGCGCATCGTCGTAGCTCCAGCTCAAGTCGAAGATGGCGTTGCGGTGTGCGTCGAACGAATGCCGAGACGGTCCTGCGAGGCGACGACGTCAGGGACGGCCCGAATAACTGGGACAGGAACGTGAAGGTGTGCTCACCTGCCGCCCACTGGTCCTCGTCGCCGTCGAGAAAGCTGACCGTGCCCTCCTCGTCCCCGACCGCGACGATCTTGCGCCCTCCCTGCTTGGCGCCTGTCGACTCGGGAGGCGGGGTCAGTGCTGCGGACGACGAGGGGCGAGGGAAAGCTCGGGACGCACCGTACGAGAAGGCGAGCGCGAACGGCGGCGCAAAGTGACGGCGCTGGTGGATCGACGGGAGCCTCGCGACGTCGGCCTCGTTGCTCGACACGATCGTCTGGAGCCACGGCCGCATCGACACTGCGGGCCCGGGGGCGTCAGAACCTTGAAGACGCAAGGCAGACAGAGAGAGAGGGAGAGAGAATGGGACGCACAGTGAGCCGTGCCAGCGCGGAAGCCCAACTCCCTCCTGCGCATGGCCTCGAACGCGCCAAACTGCTGCCCGGGCGCGACGAACGTCGGCTCGATGCGCGCCCTGCCCTCGCTGTCGCCCGTCCCGTACGTCCCGACGAGCTGCGCCGTGCCCAACTCGGCCCACGCCTGCGCCCCTCGCCGCGACGGCACCGAGTCGTGCGAGGCGACCCGCCTGCGCTTGGTGCGGGCCTCGCGCTCGTCACCATCGTCGCCGTCATCGCCACCGTCGACGCTCTCGTCGTCGAGGCCGTCGTGGGCGCAGGCGCCGTCCTCGACCCGGACGGGGCTCGTGTTGGACGCGTCGCTGAGCGGCGGCGCGTCCGAGCCAAACACGCTCGGCGCGTCGGCGGCGGCGGACGGGCTCGGGCTGCTCGTGGGCGGAGCGACTGGGGCAGGGGGCGTCGAGCGGAAGAAGCGCGAGTCGGCGAGGCTCGTCTGGCGGTACGTGGAGGGGCGCTTGGCGGACGAGGACGACGAGGCCGACTGGCGCGCGAGGTTGGTGAGGTCGGTGGCGAAGCGCGGGGGCGTGCTCTTGGGAGCGGGTGCCATCAGGGCGTCGCTGAGGATGGTCGGAGAGGGTGCGAGTGCGAGGGGGGGAGAGAGTGAGGGTGAGGGAGCGAGCCAACTCGCCGAACCTCGACGCGTCCAAGTCGCGCTCCAATGGCGCTCGCGCTTCCTCTGTCGCGCGCTTTGTGCAGCGACTCTTTGCAGTACAGGTGCAAGCTACTGTAGCTGTACCAGAACCAGAAGAGCTCGCAGCGGCGCTGGTGGTGAGCACGGAAACCCTGAGACTCGTCCGACCTGGACGTCGACTCGCTCGAGCCGACCTGCTACGCCGCAGCAACGGGAGCGAAAGAGAGTGACAGGGAAGGGCACAAGATGCAATGCAAAAGGAAAGTAAGGAAGAGACGCGCTGCTGCGCAACTCGCTCTGGCCGCGCCCGCCGACGTGGCCCTCGTCCACCTCGAGTCGGCATCGACGACGACCGCCTGAACGCTCAACCGCGGATCGACAGCCTCGAGAAGTGAGCCATCTCGAGCAGGTCGAGCTCGCCCCGGCCGCGAAACATGGTCTGGACGACCTTGCTCCGGGCGAGGCCGTTCAGGTGCTGCTTCTTGAGGTCGCGGTTCGAGAGCGTCGTGCGGACGTTGCGCAGGTCCCACAGCCTGTGTGCGAGCGCGCAAGAGGTCAGTGACTGCTCGGCGCTTGTGCGCTTGGGAGAGAGAGGCGAGAAAGAGAGAGAGAAAACGGGACGCACTTGACGCCGTTTTCGTAATCAGGGAATGCGTAGACCTTGTCGCAGTGGTCGCCGCGGTAGTACCGGCCCATGGTCGTCGGTGACAGCGCACCTGTCGATGACGTGTGGGCTGCAGGCGACGAGATATGAAAGAGGTGAGGCGCACGTTTTCGCACGAGGAAGGGAGCGGCGGGACGCACGTGCGAGGTCATAGCCAAAACTGAGGACCGCCTTGGTGCTCGAGCGGATGTCGAACACGGTGAACTGGTTCGAGGGAGCGGCGACGCGAGCGAGGATGAGGTGCGGGTCGAACGGGACCTGCGAGACGGTCATGACCGGGCTGTGGAGGAGCGCCTGCCAGGTCGACGCCATGCGGTCGAGGTCGTACGCGAACACCTGCGGGCACGCCGTGTCGCGAGTGAGTAGGCGTGCGACAATCTGACGCGGAAAACGAGAGCGAGGCGCACGCGTTTGTCCTTGCCGCCCGAGACGACCCAGTCCTGGTGCTCGATCGTCGAGATGCTCGTGATCATGGACGAGTGCTCGGACCGGATGTTGGCCGTCTTGATGTCCTGCGTCGCGCGCGACCTCGTCCAGAGGTACAGCCTGCAGATGCAGCGCAAGGAGGTGAGTGACTGGAGGACAGGCTCGGCTCGAGAGGGACGACGCACTTCTTGTCCTCGCCGCCGGTGATGAAGCGCAGTCGGCCTGCTCCTGGCAGCGTCGCGATGGCCGTCACGCCGCCGGCGGTGTGAGGGCGCTCGTCGAGCTTGCTCGGGATGAGCGCGGTACCCGACTGCGGGAGCAAAGGGCCTCAGGCGTGAGTGCCGCTCAGGAACGAGTCGGGATGGGGCATGCGGGACGCACAGGCGTGTCCTCGCGACGATACAGGATGACTTGATGCGCCGGTCGGGCGAGGTCCTTGCCGTCCTTGGCGCCGAGGTAGCCGACGAGGAGCGTGTCCTTGGTGTCGGACCACGCAAAGTCGTCGACGCGAAACTTGTCGTCCTTGCTCGAGTAGAGCTTGCGCACCGTCGAGGCGAGCGAGGTCGACTGGCAGGCGAACTCGACGATGTCGCCGACGTGCGAGACGGCGAGGAGGGATGAGCCCGTGTCGACCATGTGGCGCAGCTTGTTGCCGCGGCCGTCGAAGCCTGCGGGGCGCACAGAGTCAGAACCGGTCGTGCGCGAGAGGTGAGAGAGGAGAAGAAGGCGCACCGTGAAGCTGAGCGTTGCCGCCGCCCGGGATGAGGATCCTCGCGTCCGTCTTGCCCAAACCCGTCCCGAGCTCCGGCTCCTTGGCCTTGTCCCGCTTCTCCTTCTCCTTGCGCTCCTTCTCCTTGCGCTCCTTCTCCTTGCGCTCCTTGTCCTTCCTCGCCTTCTCCCTGGCCCTCTTGGCCTCGTCCTCACGCTCCCTCTCCCGCAGCAGCTCCCTTGCCCGCTCGGCCGTCCGCTCCTTGGTCCGCTTCTTGCCCGCCGTCGCGCTCGCCGCCGTCACCGCCGCCGCCGCCGCTGCTGCTGCCGCCGGGCGCGAGCCCGACCCCGACGGCTCAGCCGCCTCGGCGTCGCTGCGCGGGCTGACGGCGCGCCCGGCGTTGGCCGTCAAGCGCTGCACCTGCGCCGCCACCTCGAGCTGGATGAGGCGCTCGACCTCAGCGCGGCTCAGGCCCGCCTCGGCAGCGGCGACGGCCGACGGGCCAGGGGCGGACCCGCCGGGCGACGTCGACGGGCCCGACACGCGGCGCTTCGAGCCCGAGCCCGAGCCCGACGCCGATTCGGGGCCCGGGCGCGACGCAGGGCTGACGGCGCGACGCTTGCGCTGCTGCGACGCGGCGGCCACGGCGGCCTTGGCCGGTGAGGGCGCCGGCGTCGGTGAGCGTGAGCCTGCGCTCGAGTCCGTGAGGACGAGGACGTCGCGGTCCATGTCGACATCGCCGCCCTCGTCGGCGTCCGAGCTGCATGCGGCGGCGACAGGAGCAGGACGAACCGGACCGGGCGAGGCGGACGAGGCGCGCCGGCGCTTCTGGGGCTGGGGAGGCTGCTGAGGAGGGCGAGCGGGAGCCGGTGCGGGAGGAGGCGGTGCTGCGGCGGACGGCGCAGGTCGAGGGGGCGGGCCGGGCGCAGGGGCCGATGCGGCGGCGACAGGAAGAGCGGGCTGAGGCGGTGCGGCCTGCATGCGCGCGAGCGCCGGGTGCGGCTGCAGCTGCGCCGACGGGCGCCCCGTCGCACCGCTCGTCGTCGTGGTCACCGCCGCCGCGCCGACTCGAGGAGGCGCCGCCGGGCGCGCGAGCGGCACGGGCGCCTTACCCGGCTCGAACGGCGGCACTTGAACGGGGAGCGCTCGGGGCTCACCCTGGACGTGGTACCGCATCGTGAGCTGGTCCGAGTGGATCCAGTACTCTGCGGGCCCTCCTCCCGCCGTCGCCGACGGGCCCGAGCCCGAGCCGGCGCCCCTCGGCACGATGATGAACGTGCGCGCGAACCCGCGCAGCGTCTTGTCCGGGAACTCCTCGAACTCGCCGACGAGGTGGACGACGATGGGCGCGAGCGGCTGCTGCTTGCGCAGGTGGAGCTCGGGGACGGTGCGGGCCGTGTAGGTGCAGCGCGACAGGTCGTGCGAGCCGGGAGGGAGGGCGCGGATCGCGTTGGTGATGGCGACGGGCGTCGACGAGAGGCGGTTGTCGGCCATGAGCCAGCGCGGCTCGAACGGGAGAGGTGGGCCGGCGCGGCGGTGGCGATGGCGGGCGGGTACGGTCGCGTCGAGCTTGAGCGAGAAAAGGGCGTTGGGCGTGTACAGGTACTCGAGCGTGCCGCGCGACTCGTCGAACCGGCGGACGTACCTGCGAGAGGGAGCAAGAAGGGGTCAGTGCTCGTCGCGTGTGCGCCGCTACAGCGGGCAGAGGAGGAAAGAGAGAAGGAAGGAAGGCGACGCACTCCTTGAGGAACTTGTCGACGATAGCCCGGGTCGCCGTCGAGTCGGCCGTGCTCGCGCCGAGCATCGGCAGCGGGAACGAGCGCGCCGCCGCCGCGGCCCTGCTGCCCTCAGGCTCCGGCGTTGGCGTCGCGAGCTGGTCGACCTCGGCGTCGACGTCCATGTCGTCGTGTCGCGAGTGGCCCGGCGCAGGCTGGCGCGCCGACGACGACGGGACGGGAGCGGCCGATGGCGCCGGTGCGGGTGCGGGGCGCGCGATGACGGGCTTGACGTCCTCGTCGGTCGAGGCGACGAGCTGCGCCGCGGCACGTGCGGGTGACGGCCGTGGTGGCGGCGCGGGCGCCTCGCCCTGCGGCTGCTGCGCCTCGCCCTCGCCCTCGCCTCCTGCGCCATGCTCCTCCTCCACGCCGTCCTCTCCCTCGGCCTCCTCCTCGTCGCCCTCGTCCTCCTCCTCGGGTGGCAGGTACCTCACCTCGCACACGCCCCGCTCCTCGTCGACCCTCGTCGACAAGACGGCCTTGCCCTCCATGGCGAGCGTGCGCGCCTGGGCGCCGAGCCACGCCCTGCGCGCCTTGGCCGCGTCAAGCCCGGCACCGACGCACGCCGCCGGGAGCGGCACGCGCAGGACGAGCGCGCCGTCGTCTTCGAACCCGCCGCCGCCTCCTCCTCCACCTCCTGGCGCCCCCGCCGCTCCCGCCGCAGCGGCCTCCTCGCGGCGCGCCCGCTTGGCGTCCTCCTTGCGGCGCTTGCGGTTCTGCGCCGGCGTGTCGCGGCTCGCGCTCGCGACCCACTCGGGCGGGATGACGAGCCTCGCGCGGAAGAGGGCGGGCTTGTTGGGCGCGCGCTCGGGCACGATGTCCCAGCTCGAGAGGGTGATGCCCGACGAGAGGGCGAGGTCGTCGCGCGCGGTGCGGGCAAAGGCGATCGTGCGAGGGTTGGTCGAGTCGGCGGGGAGGGAGAGAGGGAGGCGGTAGGTGCAGGTGTAGGTTACGGGAGGGGTCGAGGGCGGGTCGGAGGCGCTCGCGAAGGTGCGCATGCCGACACCGATCGGTTTGTGGATGTCGTCGACGTAGCGGAACGTGGGCGCCAGGATCTTGCTGCGCGCGAGGGAGAGGCGGAAGGTGAGCGGGGCCTCGGTCGGGCACGATGCAGAGAGAGGGAGGGAGAGAGAGAGGGCGAGACGCACAGTGCATCCTCGGCTTGCACGAACGCCATGGGCTGCTTTTGACGCGCACGTGGCGGCGACTGGGCCCGTCGCGGCGTCGGCGCGCCAGGGTCGACGGCCCGATTCGCTGCGGCTTCCGCCTGGCTCGGCAGCGGCGCGCGCGACGTCGACGGCGCCGGGCCCGCGCTGTCGTGCGCGCTCGTCGTCGCCGTCGGCGGTCGCGGGTTCGGCTCGGGCTCGGGCTTGACCGGCGCGCTGCTCGACGGGCCCGAGGAGCGGCCGCCGTTGACGAGGCGCGACGGCTCAGGCGTGTTGGGCGCGCGGAAGAGGCCCGACGTGCGGCGCTCTTGATCGCTCGCGGCAAAGTCGACGCGCATGGGGGCGGGCCGGCTTGTGGACGAGGACGAGGCCGGGTGTCGCGACGACGAGGGCGAGAGGAGGGTTGGCGCGCGGCCGTCGAGGGCGGCGTGGGCTGCGGCGGCCTCGGCGGGCGTGTTGAAGGCGACGTGGGCGAACGTGGTCGTGCCGTTGGGCTTGGGCGGCGCGATGGTGACACGCACGAGGTGGCCGTAGGGCGAGAAGGTGGCGCGCAGGTCGGCGTCCGAGATGTCGGGAGGGAGGCGGCCGACCCAGAGGACGGAGCGCGGGTTGGCCGGTACGGGGATGCGAGTCGGCGGAGGGTGGAAGGACCTTGCTGACGACGCCGCCGAGCTCGAGTCTGCCCAGGCACCGGCCGTGTAGCGTTGAGGTGGTCGAGACGAGCGAGCGTCTGGAGGAGGTGCGAGAGGAGGAGGGAACACCATGGCGGTGCTCGCTGAGCGGGTGGGTGCCCGTGTACAGCTCACTGAGCACGCTGAGCTCGCTTCAGGACCCAAGCGAGGCGGGGCGGGTGCGGGTCAGGCTCGAGCTGATGAAGGCCGTCTCGCTCGAGACAGACGACGCGACGACGGCCGTGGTTGTCCCCCTCACCGCCGCTCGAGCACCACAAGGCAGCTGCCAGAGCAATCACTGCCCACCATGGTGCGCTCTCGTCCTACCGGCACACCCTCTCGCGCGCGCATCACTCACCTCTCCCTCCCTCCCTCTCCTCCCCACTCCACGCGTCCTACCTCTCTGCCCTCACCACCGCCCGCGCGCGCCGCACCCCGACAGAACCTCCACCTCGACATGGTGACGGCCCTCATCCTCATCGACAACGACTCGAACCGGATCCTCGCAAAGTACTACCACCCGGCCCACGCCGACCCCAAGGCCGTCGCCGCCGGGGCGACCAAGCCCAACCCGTTCCCGACCTTGAAGGACCAGCGCGCGTTCGAGGCCTCGATCTGGGAAAAGACGCGCCGCCAGCAGACCGACATTGTCGTCGTCGACAACCTCGCCGTCCTGTACAAGCACTCGATCGACCTGTGCTTCTTCCTCGTCGCGCCCTTGCACGAGAACGAGCTCATGCTCCACGCGACCCTGACGGCCTTTTACGACGCCGTCGCCATGCTCCTCCGCCACCAGGTTGAGAAGCGCTCGATCCTCGAGAACCTCGACCTCGTCGTCCTCGCCCTCGACGAGACGATCGACAACGGCATCGTCCTCGAGACGGACCCGGTCGCCATCGCGAGCCGCGTCTCGCGCCCGAAACCCGACGCCGCCGTCAACCTCGCCGACATCCAGCTCAACGAGCAGAGCATCATGCAGGTCCGTCCCTCCCTCTCCCCCTCCCTCTTCCTCTTTCCGCCCACGACTGACCCGCCCAGTTCCTCCCTCGCAGGCCTTCACGACCGTGCGAGACAAGATCGGGCAGCGCATCCTCCAGGGCTGAGCGCCGGCGTGCGCGTGCATCCGGGTCTCGCGGCGGCGGCGGTAGACGAGGCGCATCCCTCCTTTGGTCCCCCTCCTCCCCCCCTTCCTTCTCTCCCGCCCTTCCTCTCTTTTCAGCAGTTGTTCCCTCTGTAACGTGTGCCATTCCCACCGGATCTCGTCTCTCGCTCTCGACGTCCGCATTGCGAGAGATCTGGAGGCGAGCCACGAATTGCACTTTGTCCTCCTACCCCGCACGGCCTCATCTGCGCTCCTCGGTCCGGCATGGCTCGCTCGTCGCGACCTGCTCCACCTCGACGACGAACCAGACGCCCCGAGACGCCTTTGCAGGCCGTGCAGCCTCGCCGCTCGGTCCCGCCGACGCCGCTCGTCGCCGGACCTGTGCGCTCAGGCCGCTCAGGCGGTTGACGAGTGTGCGCAGTGGCCCGCGAGGCGGTCGAGTAGCGTTGGGAGAGGGCGTCGGGTGGAGGGCGAGGAGGGGGACAGGAAAGTGCGGGCATGAGACGACCGGGGCCGGCGGCGGAGAGGGAGCAGGGAACGAGGGCGAGTCGGTCCAGAACGGCGGCGAGTCGAGCGCGAGCGACGTCGCCGGCGTCACGTCGACCTCCTCGGCATCCGAGCGCGCCTGCTCATCCCTTGACGACACCGACGCCGTCTGCGACTCGCTCCCCTCGCTCGAGCCCGTTCCCTCGACCGCCTCGTGCTCCTCCTCTCCAAGCTCGTGCTCGGCCGCGCTCCGCTCGTGAATCGACCCGAGCGACGGCCTGAAGCTCCTGCGCCCCGAGCGCATCGAGCCCTCGCCCGACCCCACCACCGCCGCCGACGCGCTGCGGCTCGAGCGCGCCAGGACGGCCAGCAGCGCCCCGTCGCCCGCCTTGACCTTGACGCCGTCGTCCTCCTCGTCCACCTCGACGACCACGGTGCGCGCCGTGGCGCGAGACGCAGCCATGCGCTCGTGTCGGTCGAGCGCGGGCGCGGTCGAGACGCGCTCGTCGTCGACGTGTCCTCGGCGGGTGGAGCGGGACGGTCGCGCGATTACGTGGCGGCGGGTCAGGATGTCGGGGAAACAGTCGAAGGCCGTGTGCATGGGCCAGTCGCCGCCGTTGGGGGCCCAGGTCGAGCTGTCGAACGCCGTGACGGGCCGGAGCGGGCGAGGCGCGACGAGGAGGGCGTGCGAGGGGCAGCGCATCGGGTCGCCTGGCGGTGCACGTCGCGAGAGACTTGTATATCGGCTGGTGGAGAGAGCGAGAGAGCGAGGCGCTGCCGACAGAGAGCGAGAGCGACCCGCCTGCGCGACTCGACGTACTTGGAGCGCGAAGACGAGCACTCCCGTCCGGCGCGTCTCGAGCGCGGACAGCTCTCCGCTAGCTATGCCTTGACAGTCGCTCTTCGCTCGTCCCATCCAGCAAGACGAAGCGAGCTCTCGAAGAGCGCGAGATGGCAGCCTTCTCAAGCGCGAGCTCTCTCAGGATTCGGTCTCTCGCAGAGACGGGCCGTGGCTCGGTGCGTGAAATGGGGTATACTGCACGTCGTCCAGACTATGAATGCTGAGTGAGAGAGAAAGAGAGGTAGGGGTACGGCGGCGAGGGCGAGGACGAGAGAGAGAGAGAGGGAAGGCGAAGGAGGGGAGACAAAGTGACGACGCGAGTACGGCATTTTGCTGAGGGCGGAACGGCGGTACATACAGACGATGACGAAAGTGCACTCCTCGTACGCGTGAGCTGCCCTGCCCGGCCCGTGCCCGACCCTCGCCGTCGTCCTCCTCCCCCGCCCTCGAGTCTATGTGGCCCTCCCTGACCGCCCCCTTCCTCCTTCTGCCGGCGACACGACGACGTCGCCTAAGTCGCAAAGACGCCAAAGAGCTTGAAGCGCGCGTGGTCGATGCCCGGCTGGCCCTGGAGCTCGCAGACGACATAGTGAGGGCCCCTCGCGACGTTCATGTCGATCTGGGTGACGCTGCGGGTTGGCGAGGACGACGTGCAGAGGTGGGAGAGGGCGTCGTCGAGGGCGAGAGGGGCGGGCAAGAGGGAGAGAGGGAGGAAAAAGAGAGGGGTCAGTGTCCGTGGTCGCAAGCCGAAGGAAGAGAAGAGAAGAGGAGAGACAGAGACGCACGTCGGCTGGCCGTACTCCTTGTCCCAGTGGCCCTTGAGCTCGACGGCGCCGTCGACGTTGTCGTCGACCCAGCACAGGACCGTGCCCCAGCCCTCGGCCTCGGGGCCCTTGAGGTAGTAGACGGCGATGTCGCCGGCGCCAACCTTGACGGGGATCTTGAGGAGCGAGCCGGGCATGTCGGTGTACCAGTAGTGCATCTCGTCCTCGTCGTCGGGCTTTGGCTGGACCGGGTTCCAGCCGGACCCGGCAAAGACGCTCGACGGGAGAGGGTTGATGAGGTCGTTGGCCGACGCGCAGTTGGGCTTGATCTCGCGGAACTGGGACAGCTGATGCGGCTTGTCGGTGATGCGGAACGGCGGGATGCGCAGGTAGCCCGAGCGACCGCCGGCGCGTCCACCGCCGTGCGCGAGGTCGGCGTCCTCTGCGTCGAGCCCGGCGTCGGCCGCCTTGCGCAGGCCCTTGCCCGACAGGAGCGACGGGTAGTCGTCGCCGAGCGCGAGCGGCGAGATCGGCTGCGTGGTGCCGCCGAGCGCGGCAATGTCGGTCTCGAGCGCGGCCTGGTCCCACACCTGGCAGATCTCGGACTCGAGGAACGCGATGACCGTGTCGGCGAGGAGCTCGTGGCCCTTCGAGTTGGCGAGGATCGGGTCGAGGAAGTACGACTGGCGGACCTTGCTCGGGTTGAGGAGGTAGTCCTCGTACAGGAGGCCCTTGACGCTGCGCAGCGGGACAGAAGGTCAGGACCTCGTCCGTCAATTCGTGCGGCGAGAGGGCAAAGAGGGGACGGACCTGACGTGGACGACGTCGTAGAACTGAGCGACGGACGAGTGCCACATCTCGGGGCCTGCGTAGCCGTGCTCGCCCTGAATCTGCGGCGAAAAGTGGCCGAGCATAATGATGGCGGGCTGGTCGGGGCGAAGGAGGAGCGAGCGGATGAGGAGGTCGGTCGTCGACAGAGACGTCTTCTCACTGTGGAAGAGACCATGAGTTAGTGCCTGCGACCCTCGAGCGTGCGAGAAGAGAACGGCGGACGCACGCCGGGTCCTCGGTGTCGAACTCGACGATGACGAGGTCGACGCGGTCGGGCAAGTGCATCTCGGAGCAGAACCCAAAGTACGACGTGCCGGTGCGACGCACTGCAAGAGGAAGGGGAGGAGATGTCAGGACGAGGTGATCCGGCTCGAGAAGGGAAGGACGGGAACGGGGAAGGGGGAGGTGGGACGCACGGGCGCCGTTGGTCAACTCGTTGGCCGGGTGCGGGAACACGTCGTTGAGCCACGAAAAGATGCGGTGCGGGTAGCAGTTGGGGCCGACAGGGTTGCCGAGCGGGTGGGCCTGGGTCGCGTCGAGGCCGTGGCAGCTGCTGACACTGCCGCCGAGGACGCCGATCGTGACGGGGAGGCCGGCCATGGCGCGCTTGATGACCTTGCGCACGCGCTCGGCGCTGCCGACGTGCGTGCGCGTCTTGACGATGGCCTCGCGGCCGTACACGGTGCCGAGCTCGTCGCCGGCGCCGAACGTCGGGCAGAACGTGAACGGCGGCGGCTCGCTAAAGTTGGCGGGCCCGTACCCGCCCGTGCCGCCGTGCGAGATGGCCGCCGCTGCGCGCTGCTTGCGGGCGGCGCGCACGAGCGTGTCGGTGCGGCGCGACGAGGCGAACTGGCTGCGCGAGCCGAACCCGGGCAGGGCGCGGCCGTTGCGATAGGACGGGTCGCTCGGCCGCGACACGAGGTGGAGGAGGAGGAAGAAGCCGCACACGCCGGCGGCGATGTAGGCGATGCGGCGGCGCGCTGCCGCCTTGTCGGGCGACGACGACGACAGGAGCTGGGAGAGGCCACCGCCGGACCCGCCGGCGCCGGCGCCAGACCGCCGGTCGGCCATGGGCGGCTGTGGAGACGCCCTGCCGTCTGCGTCTTGCCTTCGTCGGTGGAGCATGGGCGGGTGTCGGGGCTGCTAGGGGCGAGCGCGTGCAGAGGGTGATGAAGGGACGCGTGCAGGTCGCTCGCTCGCTCGTTGGCGGCGGTCGAGGAGGGTGCTGGGGCTGCTGGGTCGACAGGTGTGGGCGCACAGCTGGCGTGTGTGGCTGGACGCGGGAACCTGGGCGAGCTTGCAGGCCGTGGCAGAGCTCGAGTGCTTTGGACGAGGCGAGGGCGAGAAGGGAGGTGGAGCGCGCCGCGCGCGTCTCCCAAAGCCCAGGCTCTGCGGACGACGACGCTCTCGCATCAGGCAGGTGCCACGGCTCATGCACGAGAGCACTTGACGAGCAACTCGCGCGACAGGCGTACGCTCCTCCCGCCGCGGAGAGACGCCGCCCGCTCCTCGTCGAAGCCAGCCGGGTCTCGCACTTTCTCGCTCGTCTCGTCTCGAGAGGTCAAAGCGAGGGTTGCGTTGCAAAGCGGTTGTGGGTACACACACAGGGCACTGAAAGAGTGGTGAGCCGGTACACTGAAAACAAGCGGGGGCACTGCAAGCGGGTCGTCCTCCCTCCTCCCAACGACGACGCCGGGCGCTCAGCCCTGCGCCGCAAACGTGTCGAGCTCGGCGGGCACCTGCCAGCCGTGCGTCTGCGCCGCGCGGCGGAAGCCCGCAATCGCCTCCTCCATCTGCGCGGGGCCGACCGACGAAAGGTCAGTGGGACGCTCTCCGAGCGTCCTCCTGCCCCAGAAAGAGGGAACGACAGCGCCACGCACCGAGTAGGGCTGGTTCCACTGCTTGCCCTGGTCGAGGCGCGCCGGCTTGGGCTCGAGGTTCGACCTGCGCGCGAGCGAGAAGCCCTCGCGGCGAGTCAGTCCCGTTGCCTTCGCTCGCCGATCACGCGCGCGCGAGAGAGAGAGAGAGTAGGGGACGCACATGGCCATGCGGATCTGCAGCAGGATCGCCTCGATCGTGTACACCGAGCTCCACCCGTCGGTCGTCAAGAGGTGTACTGTCGCGGGAACGAGAAGGTCCGGGTCAGGCTCGCGCGCTCGCGACGACGACGACGACCGAGGGAGGAGGGACTCATCCATGCAGATCGACCCGCCGGCCGTGACGTGCCCGCCGCCGCCGTGCGCGAACGGGAGGAAGCGCGGGTGGACGACGCGGAAGAACGGCGGCGAGAAGGGGAACCTGCGGGCGCGAGACGGGCCTCGAGTCAGTGCGACCGCCACCGTTGCGGCGACTCGAGGGCGGTGAGACGAGGACGCACGTGTCGCCGAAGCGGATTTCCATGAGGATGCTCTTGACGTCGCGGGCGTCCATGTCCTTGCGGAGCGGCAGGTCCTCCTCGAAGCTCTCGCGCGGCAGCTCGATGACCCAATTGAACGCGTTGTCGTCCGAGCGCTCCTGCGAGCGTCGCAAAGGAGAGTGTCAGTACCCCGAGGCGAAGCGAGGGCGGCGAGGGCGAGGCCGACGAGGAAGAGGGCCCGAGCGAGACGAGGCGACGCACCGGGTCGAAGAAGAAGCCGGCGCTTGTCGGCCCGAGGTCCTTCTGCGCCTTGAGCATGGCGCGCATCTCCTTCTGGATCATCGCCATGGCGCCGCGACTCGGCTTGCTCGGCGGCGGGATCTGCTTGACGAGGGCGAGGCGCGCCGCGTCGGCCGGCTCGAACGTGTCGGGCTCCTCCTTGGGCGCAGGCGGCGCGACGACAGCGCGCTCTTTGCCCTTGGCCGCGCTCTTGCCCTTGGTGGCGCCCATGGTCGGGCTCAGGAGGCCGCTACCGCCGAGGCTCGACGTGCCGCGGCGGAGCTTGGTGCGGAGCCCGCCCTTGCCGGCGCCGGCCGACTGCGACGACGCGCCGCTCTCGCCGACGACGATCGGCGGCTCCTCGAGGAGCTCCGAGTCCGAGACGTTGAGCTCCTCGACCTTGTCGGTGAGGCTCGCCTCGAGCTTGGCGAGCTTGTCGCCGACGTCGGGGATGATGAGCTTGGTGCTGCCGATCGTGAGCGGGTGCTTGGGGTCGAGCGAGATCGTCTTGAGCGCGTCGCCCTTGCTCTTCTTCTTGCTCGCCGCCGACGCCGACGCGGCCGCCTCGGCGACCTGGACCTGGGCCGTCGCGCTGCTCGCCTGCGCGATGAGGTACCGCGCCTGGATCCAGTCGAGCTGGTTGACGACAAAGTACGGGTTGCTCGACACGAACTTGGCCGGGCTGGGTACAAAGGAGAAGGGCGTGAGCTCGAGATTCTCCAGAGCGAGGGGGAGAGGAGGGCCGACGAGGGGGACGCACAGGTTGGTGATCTCGCAGATGGCGGCGAGCTTCGACACGTGGTACTCGGCGTTCTTCCACACAGTCGTGGCGGGCGCGGCATAGTGCCCGAGCGAGACGCTGCCGTCCTTGGCAAAGTAGACCTGCGGGCAGAGGGCATCTCGATCAGTGACGGGTCAAGGGTCGGCGAGCTCGAGAGAGAGAGAGACAGAGGGACGCACACCGTGACCGTAGGCGCGCCCGTTGATCGTCTCGCGGAAGTGCAGGCCCTGGCGCAGGATGCTCGACCAGTTCTTGACGCTCGAGCCGTGGAACGCGAACAGGGTCGGGTAGCGCTGCGCGTTGGCGTCCTCGATCTGCGCCGTCCTGCAGGGAGAAAGTGCGTGTCAGTTGTCGCGACAAGAGGGGGACGAGGAGGAAGAGGAAGAGAGAGGCGACGCACTTGACGCTCTCGGCGAGGAGGTGCTCCTTGGCCGGGCTGCCGACGACAAGGCGGAACTGCCTGCAGTCCTTGCCGATGCCCTGGATGAGCTCGTCCTCCTCCTCGATGAGCTTGAGGTACGACGTGTTGCTCGCGACGATCCAGCGCAGGAGCCTCCACGCCGAGATCGAGATGGTGCCGCCGCGCATGTCGACGAGCTTGCGCGTGCGGTTCAGGAGGCGCTCGTCGGCCGTCATGTCCTCGCCGAGGAGCCACACGCGCATCTCGCTGATCGGCGGCAGCTCGTTGATGAGGTGGGCGACGCCGCCGCACTTGGAAAAGTCGTCGCCGAGCGTGTCGAGGTCGACCGTCTCCTGCTCGACCGTCGTCGTCGCCATCGTCGTCGCCGGGACCCCCGCCGCCGAAACGATCGGCGTCTCGAAGTTGCCGGTCAGGTCCTTGGGCACCTTGAGCTCGAGACCGACAGGGAGGAGGTCGCCCTTGAGGCCGTTCTCCTTGGCGGCGATGTAGGTGAGCTGGACGAGGAGGTCGACCGACGCCGAGTTGGTCGTGATCTCGTGCTCGAGCGACGGACCGAGGCCGAGCGCGATGAGCTGGAACAGGCACAACGGGCTCTCGCACACGAACGGTTTCTGCGGGCGCAGGGCTCGAGAGTCAGTGCACGGACCTCTGCGCGGCGAGGCAGGATCGAGAGAGGCGGGGGGACGTACGAGCGCCGTGATGACCTGGTCGCAGCGCTTGTAGCAGTTCAGGCAGAACCTCGGGCACATGACGAAGCGGCGGATCAGGTACGAGAAGGCGAGGAGCGGAAAGTTGTGCGCCGTCGCGAGGCTCGCCATCGGGTCCGGCGGGAGCTGTTTCGCGCCGACAAGGTCTCGGTCAGGTCACGCACTCGCAGGCGACGCAGAGAGAGAGAGAGAGAGAGGGACGCACCGTCTGCGACACCTCGAGCTCGGCCTTGTCGGCGGCGCGCGCGAGCTTGCGGTCGACAGCTTTGTCGTCGCTCCTGCCCGCCTCGAAGCAGTGCTGCTCGGCGCCGGCCCACCCGATGCGCTCGTTCGAGCGGCGCACGTGCAGGATCTCGCCGAGCTTGTCGTTGAGGAGCGCGTCGAGCGGCGCCGACAGCGAGATGGCCTCGAACTCGTCTTCTGCAGGAGAGAAGGCGTCGTCAAGGACCGCGCACGGCGAGAGAGAGAGAAAGAGAGAGAGGAGAGGGCGACGCACTCGTGTACGGGTTCGAGCTGTGCGCACGGAAGGCGGCGGCGACAGCGGCGCGGACGGGCTTGTACCGTGGCGAGACGCCGACCTTGAAACGGCACTGGCCCGTCGTCTGGTTGTCGAGGTCGACCGGGTAGTTGGGGCCAAAGTTGATGAGCAGGACGAGGTAGACGACGTGGCCCGTGATGAGCTTGCTGTCCCACGCCTGGAGCGCACGCGCCGGCACGTCGAGGAGGTTGACCTTCTTGGCGACCGAGACGACGAGGTCGAGCTCCGACAGGCGCGTGAAGCCCGGGCGGTACCCGGCGTCGATGAGCTGCTTGAAGTCGCTGCGTCGAGTCGAGAGGGAAAGTCAGACGGGAGAGAGAGGCGAGAGGAAGAGGGAGGAGGGACGCACGCCCGGAGAGTCTTGAAGAGCTCGCTGTCCTTGGCCATGCTCACCTCGAGGTTCTCGAGCTCGTCCTCGTACGCGTACTCGTCCTCGTCCGCCTCGGGCTGGTTGGTCCACGGGTTGGGCTCGCCCTGGACGATGCGGTGCACGAGGAACTCGACGAGGCCGTTGAGCGAGCGGTCGGCCTGCTTCGGGAGCCTGCGGCGAGGAGAGCGAGTCGGTCTCGTCGACGCTGGGAGGGGAGACAGAGAGGAGGAGGAAGAGGACGCACTGCGAGACCTCCTGGAGCGCGACCGAGACCTCGTCCGGGACCTCCTCGTGCTCGGTGAAGGCGACGACCTCGTGCCCGAGCGGGTACCCGCCGAGCTCGGGGAACAGGAGCGAGATGCGCAAGCCGCGCGGAAACTTGGGGTGCTCGAGGGCGAAGCGGACGGCGTCGTCGCCCTCGTCGCGCTTGAAGTCTGTTGGCGCGCGAGGGGAAAGAGAGAGCGGGTCAGCTCTGCTCACTTGGCGAGGAGGGGGGGGAAGGGAACGAGGGGACGCACTCTTGACGAGCGCCTTGTCCTCGGCGGCGAAGCGGTCGTGCACCTGCTGGACGTCGAGGGCGAACTGCTTGCGCGCCGTGAGCTTGCCCTTGCCCTTGGTCGAAGTCGGGGCCGGTCCTCCTCCGCCGCCGCGCGGCTCGGGCGGGGGCGCGTCGTCCAAGTCGCTCAGGACGAGCGTCTCGACTGGACGGTCGCTGTCCGAGTCGGACTCGAGCTGGTCCTCGCCCTCGTCGTCGCCGTCCTTGTCGTCGTCGCGGTCGCTGTCGCGCGTGCCGGCGGGAGCCGAGGCGGGAGAGTCGAGGACCATGACGTCCGGGTCGTTGTCGCCGGCGTAGTCGCTGTCGTACTCGAACGGCTCGTCGTCGTCGTCGTCGCCGCCGTAGCCCTGGTCCGAGTCGCCGCGGTGCATGGCGGTGTCGGCGGCGGGAGGTGGGGGAGCGAGCGGAGCCGGGTTGGACGAGGCCGAGCGCGTGTTGGGGTAGGCCGAGGTGGGTAGCTCGGTCTTCTGGCGCTTGCGGGAGGGGGCAGGCGGCATGGCGCGGTGTGCCGCGACGAGTGGTCGAGGTGAGAGGGAGGAGAGAAAGGGACGACAGCCGACTCGGTTCTCTCCACGGCTCGCCCTCGTCGCCCACTCGTGCTGGCTGGTTCCTGCTTGCGACTGCTCTACTGTGCACCGCTCGACATGCTCCACGTCTCAGATCTGCCACCCGAGGTGAGCCCGCCTCGTTCCTCCTCCGCGACTTCATCTCCCCGGACCGGCACTCATCGCTCGCTCTCGCCCGCAGCTCCTCCTCAAGGTCTTCAGCCAGCTCGGCAGCGGGTCCAGCTACAGTGACCGCGAGCGACAACGTGACCTCGCCGGCGTCGCAAAGGTCCGTCCGCTCCCCTTCCTCCTTGCCTCGCGCGTTCTCACCCGAGAGCCCGGCTCTGACCCGACCTCTCGACTCTTCTGCAGGTCTGCCGGCGCTTCTCTGAGCTGTCGATCCCGCTCCTGTACGGCGATACGATCCAGGTCCGCTCAGCCGGCCGCCAGCACTGCCTCGCTCGCACCCTCGAGGCGGACCCGGCCCTCGCCGCCTCGGTTCACGACCTCGTCGTCGTCCCGACCGCCGACCAGGCGCACGCCCCGTCCGCCCTCGTCCTCCTGCGCTCGACGCCCAACCTCGCGTCCCTCACGCTCGGCGAGGCGCTCTTCAATCAGCTCGAGGCGTCCCACATGCGCGACGCGCTCGCGGCCAAAGCGCTCAAGCGCTTCTCGTTCGGCTTCAGCGCCGGCGAGTCAGAGACGACGAGCCTCGTCGACCTCGCGCCGCTCCTTGTGGGCTGGACGGTGCTCGAGCACCTCGAGCTGCATGGCGTGCCGCCTGACCACCGGGTGCGCGGCGTCGCTACAGCGGCGCAGGGCCCGCCGGCAGCGTTGGTCGCTGTGGGCCCTTTGTACCGTCTGGCTCATCTGGAGGTGCACGGCGTCGAGGGCTGGCACTCGCGCTCGTTCTGGTCCACGGCCGCCCTCGACTGGGTCCTCGGGCGCTCCCACGCGCTCACGTCGCTCGCGCTCGTCGACATGACGTGCGGGTTCGCCCTCCCGGCCTTGTTCGACGAGCTCGTCAGCCGCGGCTGCGGCTCCACCCTGTCGCATCTCGCCCTTCGCCGCATACGCGTCGCCGCGCACATCTCGCCCCGCCTGTTGGACCCGAACGACCTCGGGACGTGGTTCCCCTCTTTGACGCACCTGTCGTTCCAGGACGAGCCACGGACCCCCATCTGCGCCGCGCCGAGTCCGGCGTTTCGACCCTCGTCGTCGCTGCGCGTCCTCGAGCTGCACGGTCGCTGGCCTAAGCACGACTTGAACCTCGTGCGCATGCTCGAGGGCAACGTCGAGACGTCCGACGGCGGGCAGGCGGCGCTCGGCAAGCTCAAAGTCGTCGGACTGTCGCCAACGAACGCGGACGTCAAGGAACTCTCGGCGGCGTGTCGGCGACACGCGATCGTCTTCGAGCTGGTCTGCAAGTTCTAGCGGATCTCTCTCTCGCTCTCATACTTGTGTAGCTGTGCTGCTGCTGCAAAGAAGTGCGTTGCGAAATCTACTGCATGGGGATGACGGCGACGAGAGCGCCGTCCTTGGCGTCCTTGAACCGCATCCACCGCCCGAGCCTCGGCTCCTTGGACGTCGCCGCGACGACGATGAGCGCCTTGTCCTGCTTCTTGTCGCCCGCCGCCGCGTCGCCGCCCTTCTTGCTGCCGCCCTTGGCGACCAAGTTGACGGGCGTGACGTGCGTCTCCTTGGTCGGTCGCAGCGCCGGCGCCGTCAACTGGAGCGAGTTGACGAACCCGGGCGCGTCGACCGTCGCGATCTGCGAGAAGGACCGCACGCGCTCGTCGATGCGCCACAGGCGGATCGAGCCGTCCCACGAGCCCGACGCAAACACGTCGCCGTACGGCAGCGTCGCGAGCGCCGTGATCCACCGCGCCGTGCCGATGACGCCCTCGGTCTCGGACGCGTGCTCGTTGATGCCGTGCGCGAGCTGCTTCGTAAAGATGGGCTTCTTCTTGGTGATGTTCCACAGGCAGATCGAGCTGTGTGCGAGAGCGGGTCAGTCGACGCGACCTTAGTGGAGGGAAAGCGCAAGAGAGAGCGAGAGCAGGGGTGGACGCACCCGCTGTCGCCGCCGCTCAACATCGTCGAGTCGTCGACCATGGCGACGCAGTCGACGCTCCCCTCGACAAACTTGACCGGGCCCTTGGCCTCCTCGCGCCGCCGGCGCCGCTTGCGCTCCTCGTCCTCGACGCCCTCGTCCTCCATGGCGCCATCGAGGACGTTGCGCATGCGGCTCGCTCCGCCACCGCGAAACACGAGCTGCGACTCCTCGGCCGTCTTCCAGAACCGGATCGTCTTGTCACGCCCGCCGGCCGTGACGGCGACCTCGGCGCGCAGGGCGTCAATCGACTGGATCGAGTCCTGGTGGCCAAAGAGCGTCTCGATGTACGACAGGGTCGACAGGTCGAACAACTTGACGGTACGGTCGTACGACGACGAGTACAGCTCGTTGGTGCCGAGGCGGAACGCGATCGACTGCGCGCGAGCAGAGAGTCAGTCCTCCGCTCTGCCCGCAGCATCGTCGTCTCGAGAGAAAGAGAGAGGGACGCACCCCGACGACGTCCTTGTGCCCACCGAGCCCTCGCAGCCACTTGCCGCCGTCGCCCTCGACGTTCCAGCACCCGATGACCTTGTCCCGCCCGGCACTCGCGAGGATCCGCCCATCGTGGCTGATGGCGAGGTCGAGGATCTCGTCCGTGTGGCCCTCGGCGACCTCCTTGCCCTTGCCCTTCTCGCCCGTCGCCGCCGTCGGCGCCGCGTCAAAGCGCTTGTGCTTCTCGGCGTTGCGCTTCTGCGACTCGGACAGGGCCTTCTTCATGTAGGCGACGCGCGTGATGCGGGGCTGGTCGGCGTCGGCCGTGGAGGAGGAGGAAGGGGAGGAAGAGGAGACGGCGCCGAGCGAGTACTTGAGGATGGCGCCGTCCTTGCTCGAGGTGTAGAGCCACTGGCCGTCGTGCGACGCGACGGCCGAGGTGACCGAGCCGCGGTGGCCCTTGGCCGGGGTGCGGAAGATGGAGGAAGAAGGGATGGGGAGCTGGAGCTGTGGGCGGGAGAGGCAGGGTGAGCGAACGCTCGACACGGGTCGAGAAGTGCCGGGGACGTACAGTCGAGGCGACGTTGAGGTGGAGCTTGCCGGTGTGCTCGAGCTGTCCGGGGGCAGTCGATGTCAGTGTCTATGTCTTGCAAGGAGGACTGGCAGGGAAAGAGGGGACGCACAACGTCCTGCTGCAGGCGGTCGGCGATGATGTCGCGGTCGAGGTCGGCGGCGTCGAAGCCATGGTCCTCTGTGGGGCGTTCGCCTCTGGTTGAGCACTGCAACGACAGAGAGAGAGAGAGAGCCAGGGAACGTGTGTAGGACGCACCCTCCTTGTCCTTCTCGAGCGTCGAGAGGTACATCTGCGACAGCCGCAGGCGCTTCTGCGCCGGCGTTTCGAGGTCGTCCTCCTCCTCGGTGCCGTCGTCCTGGTCGCCCTCGGGCTCCTGGCTGCCCGCATCGTCCGAGTCGAACCCAGTGTCGGCGACGTCGAGCTCCTCGTCGTCGTCGTCGTCGCGCCGCCGACCCTTGCCCTTGCCGCCCTGCTGCTGCGAGTCGCGCCCGCCGGTGCGCCCGCCCCTGCCGCCGCGCGAGCTGCCCCGGCCGCGGTCACCGCCACGGCCGCCGCGCTGGAGGGACGAGCCGCGAGACGAGGTGCCGTTGCGGGCGCCGCCGCCTCTGGAGGGCGAGGGGGCGCTGCCGCCGTCGTCGTCGGTGCGCTTGCGCTTGCTGAAGGGGCGAGGCTTGGAGAAGAAGGCGTCGCTCATGGTGCGCGGGCTAGGCGGGTAGCGCTGGCGAGGCGATGGCGGGTGTTCGAGCGAGCGATGGTTCAGCTCGAGCTCGCTCACACTGAGAGGCCGTGGCTCCTCGGCTTCCACGGACAACGCCTTCGAGTCTCGCTCTACTTTCTGTGCCGCTTCCTCTGCTTGTGAGCTCTCGCGAACACTCTCGAGCGAACACGGCCGCATCAGAAAGTCGCAGAACCGGCACTTCTAAATTCGCCGCTCGGACGAGAGGCTCGAGGGACGTCCGCGCACTCGCTTCGCCTCGAGACCTGCACATTGCTCACACGTCCACCTTCGAGACGTCGGCGTAGACGTCGAACCGACGCTGGACCGTGACCGGGATGCCCGCCCTCGCCTTGTTGACGACCTCGGGGTCTGCGCACGAGGCTCGAGAGTCAGCTCGCGCTCGACTGGGCGTCCATGGCCTAGCCCGAAACGGCGGCGGTGCATCTCGAGATAGAGGTGCATGGCACCGAGGGGGGAGCGAGAGGGACGCACCGAGGTCGACAAAGAGGATGTCTTCCTTCTCCTCGAGCTGCCCGACCGTCTTGCCCCTGTATGCCTAACTGCGTCAGGACCCCGCCCTTGTCGAGCGCACAGACGACGAGGAGAGCTGGGACGCACATCGGGTCAAACAGGCTCGAGTGGCCCCACGCCTTGTAGCCGTCGCCCTCGGTCGCTCGAGCCGGCGAGCACATGCCGACGTAGATCTGGTTGTCGACGGCGCGCGCACGCTGCACGAGGTCCCAGTGCAGAGGGCCGGTCGTCGTGTTGAACGCGGCGGGGTAGATCATGGCGATGCAGCCTGCGCGACGAGGAGGAAAGGTCGTCAGAGAGGGTGCGAGGAGAGAGGGCCCGAGGACGAGGAAAAGGCGAGGCGCACCTTTCCGTGCAGCGATCATGGCGAGCTCGGGAAACCGCACGTCGTAGCAGATGCCGACGCCGATCTTGCCAAAGTCTGCGAGCGGGTTCAAGCTTCAGTGATCCGGCTGCGCGAGAATGGGGGAGAGGGGGCAAGGCGAGCCGACGAGTCTGTCCAGCAGGCCGGCCGGCTCGCACACAACGAGGGAGAAATCGACAACGCACCCGTCTCGACGATCGTCTGCCAATCGCCGCCCGTCAACGTCTCGCTCTCCTTGAACGTGATGCCGCCGGGAATGTCGATGTCGAACAGGTGGACCTTGCGGTGCACGGCGACGAGCTGCGATGGACAGGGGCGTGTCAGTCTGGCGCTCTGGGCTTGTCATAGACGCAGAAAAGGAAGATTAGACGCACCTTGCCGTCTGGGGAGAAGATGGGCGACGAGTTGTACACCTTGTCGTCCGCCGAGAGCTCCGGGATGGACCCTGGCGCGGCAACGGGGGCTTTGAGGGTCAGCAGGACGTACAAGGAGAGGCACAGGGAGAGTGGACGCACCGCCGATAAGCCACACGCCGTGCTCCTTGGCCGCCTCGCTCAGCAACCGAATGCTCTCGCTCTCCGTCTGGGCAACGTCGAACCCGTCCCGCGTCTCGGGGCTCCAGCCGATGCGCTCGGCGTACTTTCGGAACGAGCCCGTCGCGTACGGCGAGTTGAAGATCTCCTGCGAGAGGGAAGTGGGGGCGGTAGGTCGCCTCATCAGCTCGAGGGTGGGGGGAGGAGGGGAAAGAGAGAGGAGACTCACAGGGAGGACGACGAGGTCAGGCTTCTTGCCGTCCTTGCCGCCACGTACGGCCTCGGCAATCTTGTCGCGCGCGTGCTCGAGGTTGCGCGCCTTGTCGTCGCCCGTGCCCGGTTGCGCGACCTGGACGAAGGCGAGGCGAGCAGGCTTGCCCTGGACGGGTGGGGCGGCGGTGAGGGCCATCGAGCGGTGCAGTAGAGTCGGTCTGGCGGGTGTAGCTGTGCGAAGAGCCGGGGCGAGACGACTGAGCATGTGCAGCGAGCCGAGAGCGGGCTCGCCGCAGCCGTCGGCCCAAGAGCGAGCGGTGAAGCACCCTCGCTGGCTGTTCTCGTGCGTCTCGCTGGTTCACGTGCACGCTTTGAATGAATGCATTGCTCATAGTCCAAAGGATATCGAGAGGAGAGGGGGCTCGAGAGAGAGAGGGGGCGAGAGAGGGAGGGAGACAGACGTTGCGAAGGGGGGAGACACAGGGACGACAGACCGGGACGAGGGGGACCGAGAGAATGTACAACGGCAAGAGAGGGTCACAGCGACCGAACTGACGACCGACGAGACCGCGCCGGGCGAGCCCACCACAGCGATGGCGACGACGGAGCCGCTCAGGCGCTCCTCCTCGGACCCGCTCCGCCTCGTCTCGCTGGCGGCGGGACGTCCCAGTGGTACGCGTGGTGCCCAGGAGCGGCCGCCGTCCGGATGAGGCCGAGGATCCAGTCGGGCGAGTACTCGGGAACGCCTGCGGGAAGGTCGACGGCGGAAGTGCCGACCACAGGTCGACAGCCCGACGCTGCGGGCCCGATGTCGCTCTCGCCGTCGTCCTCGCCCGTCGCCGACGCCGTGGATGTCGCCGACCCGGGCGCGCCGGCCGACCGAGCCGAGCTGCGAGGCCACGCAGGTGGCTGTGAGGTCGACGCCGCCGGGGCCGACGAGAACGGCGCCGCCGTCGACGTCGCAAACAGCGGGTGGTCACCCTGCTCGGTGCTCCAGTCGACCGCACTGCCGGTGCGCGCGCCGCCGCCGCCACTGCCCTCGCTCCGACCGCTCGAGCCGAACCGCGCCGCCTCGGTCGTCGACCCGCCCGTCGCAGGTCGCCGCCCGCTCGACGCCGCCGCGCCCGACGCGCGCGTGACGCACTCGGACTGGGCCTGGTACAGCGGGAAGGGGAGCCAGTTGAGTCGGGCGCCGGGGAAAGTGACCGACGAGGGGATGACGGCCTTCAGGCAGACGAGGTACGAGTCTTTGGCGAGGCCGTCGGCGCCATAGGTCGGGCCCGTGCGGGCCGTGAGCGGGATGACGGTCGGCGCGATGTGGAGGCGAGGGAGGAGAGTGTCGAGCGCGGCCGGCGTGAGGACGCGCTCGAGGTAAGGACGGAGGGTCTGGACGACGAGCGAGTGCAGGTCGCCGGTGACGGCGCCGCCGTGCGACGGGCTGCTCGTGTTGACGAGGTCGAGGAGCGATTGCCCGCCGAGGTGATGCAGGGCCTCGACGACGGCGTCGAGCGTCGTCGTCGGCAAGCTCGAGGCGGCGGGGCGCGCCCGGTCCTGCCGCGGGTCGACGAGCGACGCGAGGTCCGTCATCGGCAGCGAGTGGTGCTGCCGTTCGTCGACGACGACGTGCAGGCCCTCGCCAGGGAGCGCCTGCAGCATGAGGACGCCGCCGTACAGCCGACCGCGCTCGAGCCGCTTGGCGACGCCCGTGCGCGTGAAGCGGTACACGCTGCGGAAGTACTCGAGGACGCGGTCGTTCGGGACGGCGTACGCGCTCGAGGTGATGCGCGCGACGTTGGCCGGCTCGGCAAACACGTAGCCGCGGGCGACGAGCGCGTCGCGCTCGGCGTTGTTGCGCAGGCGACGGGCAAGGATGAGCATCTGGCCCTGCGTCACGACGAACTGGTCGCCCGACGACTTGCTCGAGACCTGATAGTGGCCGCTGCGCACGTCAAGTCGAGAAATTGTCAGTCGGCGGGTCACAAAGGTCGGGGGGGACGGGAGAAAGGAGGGAGGGGGACGCACATCTTGAGGATGCTGTCGTACAGCACGCCGAGCGCCTTGAGGTTGGGCGCGCCCGTCAACTCGCTCGCGATCTCCTCGCCGGCCATCTCGAAGCTGAGGACGCTGCGCCGCAAGCCCTCGGCCTCGGACCCGGTCATCTCGTCGTCGGCCTCGCTCAGCCGACCCGCGCCGACGCCCTCGCCCGTCCTGCTCGCGGCACCGACGCCGCCGAACGACGTCGCGTTGACATCGTCGCCGACGGCTGCGGCCTCGCCGGGCTGCTTCTGCGAGCGCCAGGCCCACGACATCTTGAGAAAGGCGACAAAGGCCGGGTCCGAGCGCTGCAGCTTGACCTTGTTGGCGTCGAGGCGCAGGCGGTTGCCCGACGTGATGACGTGCCAGATGCTGAACTTGTCCTGCTCGTTGGTGCGGCTCGGGTAGATCTTGGCCGACGGGAGGAGGCCCGAGTCCGGGTGCACGAGGAGGAGGCCGTGTTGGTCAAAGATGGCCGTCGACAGCATGATGCGGTGGCGGGCCGCCTTCTGGTGCAGGGCGCGCTGTTGACCAAGGTAGGCGAACACGAGGAGGAGGATGCAGCAGATGGGCGCGACGACGCAAATGATGGCGACTGTGGGCGCGAGCGACGACGTCAGGTTCTCTGGCGGCTCGAAGAGGCTCGGGCGAGAGCGAGAGAGGAAGCAGACGACGCACTGATGACCGTCTTGGTGCCCTGGTCCGACCCGGTGCGCAAGTCCTCGCCCTGGATCGCCCAGTAGTGGGTGCCGAGGAGGGCGACAAAGTGCATGAGGGTGACGCCGACGGCGAGGATGCCGGCGACGAGGACGCGCTTGTACCACGAGTGCTGGAGCTTGGGGCGAAAGATGACGAACAGGATGTACAGGCCGACCGTGACGCAGAACATGGCGATGAGGACCGACAGGAGGATGGTCCACCACGAGTTGGTGACCCGAGGGACCGAGTTGATCGACACCTGGCCGATGTAGTCTGCGTCCACGCACCGAGTGAGCTCGAGACGCTCGACTGTCGAGAGAAGGAGAGCGAGAAGGCGGGGACGCACGCATGGCAGCGATTCCTCCTCCGCAGACGATGCCGGCGAGCAGAATCTTGGACACGCCCCACAGAGACACCTTGGCCGCACCGACGCCGAACTCGCCGTCGTCGACCGTCGTGTCGTCCTCGTCGTCCACCTCGGTGCGCTCGCGCCGCTTGTCGGCCGCGGTCGACGAACGCCCGCCGCCGGTCCCGTCGCGCTTGGGCAACGAGACGCTGAACGCCGACGGGTCACTCTGCCGACCGTGCGGCAGGTTGAAGCGCGTCTGCTGGTCCGGGCCGGGCGGCGAGGGCGCCGGCGCGACCTTGAGGTCCGGGTCGAACGCGCCGCCGGTCGCGAGGTGCATGTCCTTGCGGTCGACGCCGTCGGTCGCGGCCACGTCGTCGTACTCGGGCGCGACGACCGTGCCCTTCTCCTCGCCCGAGGCCGACGAGCCGTACTCCTCGTCGACGACGGGAGGGCGCCACCGTGGCGCGTTGAACCGCAGGCCGATGAACGAGAAGGCGATGATCATCGAGATGCACGACACGACGAGCGACAAGATGGTGAAGCCGGCGTTGTACGACAGGGGCGCGCCGGTGCCCTGCCAGGGCGGAGGAAAGCGCAGGGTGACGGCTTGGTTGCCGACCTGCGACGACGAGGTGCGATGTCAGTCTCGCGAGGTCCGGCCGAGGCAGGACCGAGAGAGAGAGAGAGGCGCGACGCACAAAGTGCATGCCGAACGTCGCCGTCGAGCCGAACGCGATGCCGGCGCCGCACAGGAGCATGACGTTCCACACGCCCGCGCTGCCCGTGCGCTTGAGGAGCATCTCGAGGGTCGTCCATGCGCCGACGAACGACACGAGGTAGCTCAGGACGACGTAGCCGCCGTTGTAGTGCGCCGAGAGCTCGATCCAGTCCTGCTGGCCGTCCATCGTGGTCGGGCCGGAGATGCGAGAGGGGAGGGAGGGTTGGCGAAGGTGGTCGGCGGTCGTGGGCGAGTCGAGGGCGCCTGGTGGGTAGTTGGTCTGCTGGCGAGGGCAGCTGCCCCTCCGTCGTCGCTGCCGCAGAGGCGCTGGTGGCGCGCGGGCGCGGGCGCGCTGGGCGAGTGTGCGGAGGCGGTCCGGGGCGGGGAAGGTGCTGCTGGTCGGTGTCGAGCGAGGGCGCGCCGCTGCTGATGCTCGAGTGTGTGCTGCGACTGCCCTGGGCGACGGTGCAGCTCGCTGTGGCACAGAGCAAGCCGACTTTGAGGGCGCAGGAAGCGGTCGCTCTCTCCCGCGCCTGCGAGTCGAGCCTCGTCGAGCCTCGAAGAGCACCGCATCGGATCAGGAAGGTCCACTCGCCAGGCTCGGCTCGATCACGCTCGTAAGAAGCTTGCCGCCCGCTTCATTACACTCTCTAAACAAAGCTCTCGAAGCCTCGCCAGGCTGCGCTCGTACCAGCTGCTACCGCTCGAGCCCCTGGACGCCTTGCATGCGACGGTGGCAGCTCGCGCTCGGGAGGAGAGCTCTCAGGACCTGCTCAATTGCGGAGCCTCTTTCAATCTAGCTAGCGCGAGCGCGGGCGAAACCTTGTCGACAAGCGCTGCCTGCACCCGCGGGAAGTGCGCTCGCTCAAACGCGGCCGGGCCGCGCGCGCTCGGGTTGCTCTCCTTCGAATCCACAGCTCCACGAGCCGCTGTCGTCGCCTTCGACTTTGCCTCTCGCTTGCTTTCAAGGCGACCCGCTCTCTCTGCTCGCCTGCTCGCCCTGCTGACGTTGGGCGGCTCGGTGCTTGCGACCGGCGTCCATCGTCTCGGTCTCCGCTTGGTTCATCGACACGCTCGAGGCGCGTCAAGGACAGGAGAGAGGAGACGGACGCACGGACAGCGGCTCAGGCCCCCGCGCCGAATCCGTCCCGGCTCGGCGTTTCCCTCTCGCTCGTCTCGTGCTTGCTCTCGCGCGCTGCATCTGCGCCGGCGCTCCTCGCACTCGAGTCGAAGCCAGTCCGACGCACACGCGCCGCACCACCGCGCGAGCTTCCGCCGCTCACCGCCGACCAACCTCTCGACGCACGCGCCGCCTCCTTCGTCCGCCCGCGAACCTCGCCCCGGCTCGCCACCACCCTCGCGCCGCCATGGCCGACTCTATCCAGTCGCTCGTCGAGGGCATCCTGAGCAACCTTCCCGAGGGCGCCAACCCGTGGTCAATCTTGCGCGCGACCCTCACCGCCCAAGTTCGACCCGACCTCGGCCGCGCCTTTCGCACGCAGCTCTACGTCTGCAGCGCGCTCGTTGCAGCGTACGTGACACTGTCCTCTTTGCGGTGGAGCGAGCTGACCGACCGCCTTCCCCGCAGGATCACTCTCGTCCTCATCGCGTGCATGGTCGCCAAGTGGAGACAAGGGACCTACTGGCTCTTCCGCATCCACCGAGCGACGGGCGGCCGCTTCCTCGTCGTTCACTACGCGAGCTCCTGGACGTGCGTCCACCTCTCACTTTCTTGGTGAGGTGAGGCGCAAGCGGCGACTGACTTGCCCGCCATCGCAGAACGGTGATCATTCTTTTCTTTGGCCTCCTCCAAGGTTACATCTGGCAGACGGTCAAATACACGTCGGGCGACCCAGTCCTGAACTCGGACCTCTGGTGCGTCGTCCCTCTTGCCTCCTCTCGCAGCCTCGTACCGGTCACCGACCCGACGTCTCTTTTCCGCCCCCTCTCGCAGGCGCATGTGCGTGTGGTGGCCCGGCTGGCTCGCCTTTTGGCTCGCCGCATGGTCCCTGCGTGTCTCTCGTGCGTCGCGGGCCCGTTCGTCCTGCCGCTCGGACCCTCGAAACTGACTCTCCCTCGTCCGCCCCGCTCGCCCTCGCCGTACAGACGTCCTTCACCTCGACTCGTCGGGCCGTCCCTCGCGCGCCATGTACTCGCAGGCCTGGTTCATCAACAGCGGCGGCGTCCTCGTTCCCGCGCTGTCGGCAACGACCATCGCCATCTTGTCGTGGCAGGCCCACGAGCGCTACGTCGAGGCCATGAAGCGCTTCTCGCTCATCGACTCGACGCTCGCCGCCGCCGAGATGGACTAGTGCGTCCGCGTCCCGAATCTCGCTCGACCTTGAGCGCGCGCGCACTGACCTCACCCTTGCGCACTCAGCTCTCGCCAGATCGACACGTCCGACGTCATGAGCAGCGGTGCCCTGCAGCTTGCGGCCGACTTTGCGTCCTCGTTGTCGTCCTTTGGCGAGTGCGTCGCCGTCCTTCCTCGTCCGTCCTCGCCCGCAGACAGTTCGGCACTGACCCTGGCCGCCGGGTCTTTTCCTCGCGCAGCTTCTTCCGTGGCGGTGCGTCTCGAATCCTTCACCCTCTACCTCTACCAAGGTTGATCTGACGAGTTCGCTCTGTTCGCAGTCTTCTGGGTGCGCGCCGCCGCCCCCCTCCCTCTCTCCCACCGCGCCCTCCCTTTCTGACCTCGTCCCCTCCCGCACCCAGGCGTATTTTGGCTTCACCGTCCTCCTCGAGGGCATCCTCATCCTCACGACCATCTTCCACCTGCGCGAGCTGCGCCGCACCATGGGCGACCTCCGTGGAAGGGCCCAGCAGTCGGTCGAGGCTCGTGCGCAAGGCGACATGATCGAGCAAGGGTACCGCAGCTTGCGCAACATTACCGCCGCTGTCGTCGCGTGCTGCACGTACGTCCCCTTGTCCTCTCGTCATCGTCGTCGTCGTCCTCGTCCTCGGCGACGCCCCCGACCCGAGTTGCGACTCGCGCTCACCCTCTTCGTGACCACGCAGCGCCGTCAACATCCTCTTTGCGTACGTCGCCATCGCGGGCCGCAAGGTCATCAACGACAAGAAGTACTCGGAGGTGGCGTCGCTCCTGCCGTTGTGGCTCTTTTCCCTCCTCGGCCTCCCGCTGTCCCTCCTCTTCCTGCGCCGCATCCTCTCGAGCGCCCCCGCCCGGGCCTCTCGCGAGCCCTCGCCCTCGACGCAAGAGCAGGGCTCGGCGCACGCCGTCCACACCGGCGCCCACTCGACGCCGTCGACGGCTGCGGGCGACCACAAGGCGTCGACGCCGGTCGAGGAGTACGCCATGGCGTCGCTCGGCTCGCTCTCGCCGCAGCACGCGGTCGCCAAGACGGACGAGTACGCGTCGCTCCGGCAGGCGAGCCCGTCGCTGAGCGCCGGGAGCGACGCCCAGCTCGTGTCGACGGCCGGCGAGCTGCCGTTCTTCGCGAGCTACGAGACGAGGGCGCCGCCGGCCCAGGACGTCGAGGAGGTGCACCCGGCTGAGAAGGGCAGCGGCAGGTGGGGCTCTCGCAAGGCGGCGGCAGGGCGCAAGTAGACAGAGGGTCCGTGCGGCGTCTCTCGTAGCCTCCCTTTCCTCTCTCACCCCCGTTCTCTCTCCTTTTTATCGTTGCACACTCGTTCTTCCCTCGCGTCTGAGAGAGAGGCAGAGAAGGTCGCCTCGCTCTCGCTGCCCTCGCTGCGCTCGAGCCTCGGCTCCACGCCGCTCGAGAAGGTCGACCCGCTCGTCGGTGCTCATCCTCTTGCTCTCGCTAGCGCGGCTCTCGCTCTCGCTCTCCTCTCCTCGAGAGAAACAGAGACGGACCAAGAGTGTATCGAGTTGCGAAAGGCTTCTCTACGGCGCGACGACGACGTACTTGGGCTTGTTGCGCCGACCTGCTCGCGCGCCACCCTCGACCGGCGTCGCACCGCCTGACCGACTCGGCGGGCGCGAGTCGCTGCGCAAGTCGGCGCTCGTTGCTGAACGCGAGAGAGGAGGCGGGCCCGTGGTCTGAGAGCGGGGCGGCATCGACGGGACGGGCGGGATGTTGTCGCCGCCGCCTGCGCCGAACCGGCTCGAGTTGCTGTTGCGCAGGGCCTTGCTCGGCGATGCCGTGGCGGCACGAGGAGGCGGCACGATCGTCGGTGGCGCCTCGACCTTGTCGCCCTTGTTGATCCACCGCTTGGCCTTCTCGTCGTAGTACAGGCTCGTCTTCTCGCCGAGGTTGGCCCGCACTGGGCCCGGGCCGTTGGCCGGACTCGGCTCGCGCTTGAACCACCCGCCGAGCCAGCTCTTGGACGGCTTGATCGCTGTGGCGGGCGACAGAGAGAGTCAGTCGACGGTCGCCGGTACGCAGAGAGAGAGGGAGAGAGAGAGCAGGGCGTACAGGGCTTGTCGTCGTGTCCAGGGCCAGGCTTCGAGTCGGTGCCCGTCGTCGACGACGAACCAGCAGCGCCGCCCGACTCGCCCGGGCGCTCCTTGGTCGGCGTCGAGCCGCCCTCCTCGGCCTCGAGCTCCTCGTCGAGAGGGTCGAACGCGGGCTTCTTCGACTTGGCGTTGCCGAGGCCGAGGTCGGCGAGCTCCTCGTTGGTCGTCATGCGGCGGTGCGTCTGCTGCTGCTGCTGCTGCTGGGTGCGGCTGCTCGACGAGTGCGGCGCCGGCGAGACGGACGGCGTGAGGTGCGCCATGGGCGAGATGAAGCCCGACTCGTCCTCGTGCAGGTGCTCGTCGACGGCGGCAAACTGCGGCCGACGAGCCGACGCCGGTGCGCCGTCGCGGTCGCGCTCGCGCTCTCGCCGCTGCGGCGAGTCGGTAAAAGTCTCGGCGATGCGCGGCACATCGGACGAGCGCTCGTCGCTGTCGCCGCCACCGCCGCCGCCACGCTTGGCCGAGGGCGGTGTCGCAAGCCAGGACGGCGGCGGCGCGGTCGGGTTGTAGTCGTACCCGGCGAACGCGCCGAGCGACGACGACCGCGCATGGTGCGTCTTGAATGGCGCGCGCTTGACGGGCGGCGGGCCCGGCGACAGGTGGTGCTGCTGCTGATGCGGCTGGTGCTGCGACGGCGGCGGCTGGTGGTACGGCGGCGCCGCGAGAGGCGAGCTCGCACGCTGCGCCGAGAGAGGACGCGCCGGCGGGTTGGCGTGGAGGAAGTTGGAACCGGCGAGGTCGGTCGACGACTGGGTGCGCGACAGTGTGCCCGAGTTGGACCCTGGCGCGATCGAGCTAAAGTGCGAGAAGGCACCGACGGCCTGGCCGTTCGTCGCCTTCTGCACCTCGGCCTTGGCCGCGAGCTGCTGGGCGCTCGGCTCGTCGTCGCCGGCGACAAACTTGTTGAACCCGCCCTCGAAGGTGGACCAGAGCGAGTTGACGGTCGGCCGGGGCACCTTGCGGGCGATCCACGAGCCGCCCTCCTTGGCGTTGTGCGACGCGCCGAGGCGCTCCGACAGGGCCTTGATCTGGGCGACGAGGCGTGGGTGGTAGAACGGCGACGGCTTGGTCGCGAGCTTGAGCGTGTTGACGATGGCCTCGGTGTACCTGGCGGGGCAGGGGCGCACTCGTCAGGGGGGAACCGCTCGCAACGAGGCGGACGACGTAAAGGGAGGGAGGACGCACTTGTGGGCCTGCGAGGCGTGACCGGCGTCGGCGAGCGCCGCAGCGTGGTACAGGCGGAAGGCCTGCAGGTGCGGGAACCCGGCGAACGGCTCGTGGCCCTTGGCGACCGGGACGAGCGACAGGGCAAACTCGACGAGCTCGGTGAGCTGGACGCTCTCGAGCTCGATGCTGCCGCCGACGGTCGACGAGTTCGAGCCGACGAGGGTGATGCGCGAGCCGGGCAGGCCAAAGCCCATCGACAGGGACGTCTGCGGCGACAGGAGGTAGCTGCGGACGAGGAGGAGGAGGAAGGAAGGCGACGGTCAGGGCCTCTTCGACAACTGGCAAGAGAGTGGGAGAGTGAGAGAGAGGTCGGGCGCACCAGATGTGGGCGGCGTCGGTCCACCCGTTGCTGGCGAGAGCGTCACCGAGCGACGTGAGCGCGCCCGAGTCGCCGGCGGTGCGGTTGGCGACAATCATGCCGACCGTCTCCTGCCACTTGGCGAGCGTGTGCTCGGGCAACTTGGCCGCAGCGTCGCTCGGGACGCGCGAGAGCGGCACTGATGCGGCGCCGTTGCCGACAGGAGCCGCCGGGAGCAGGCCGGGCGTCGGCGGCCCGAGCGCTCGAGGCGGGATGAACTGGTGGACTGCGGCGGCGGCACGAGAGGGCACGGTGTCAGTGCGAGGGGTCGGGCGAGGAACCCGAGGAAAGAGAGAGAGAGAGAGGGACGCACTCGACTCGGACCCGAGGCCGGCAAACATGCCGTACGCGACCCGGAGCGCCTCGCGACCTTCTGCGCCGGGCCCTGCGCCCTCGGGCGACAACTCGGACCGCAGGAACTCGGTCGTGACGTCCTTCCAGCAGTCGGTGTCGACGCAGCTCGCGATGATGAACGCGTGCGCCCACATCTTGTTGTCGAGGGCGTACGCGACCGCCTCGCGCCGCTCGCCGCGCAGGAGGAACTTGGACATGTCGTCGAGGTTGCTCGCGCTGACGCCGTACGTGACGAACGGCGCGTCCGAGCCGGCCGAGCCTCCTCGCGAGGCGGCGGCGGCGGCGAGCTGGTCGGCGGTCGGCAGCGTGCCGCTTTCATCGCCGTCGGCCGGAGCGAACAGGGCCCGGACGGCGTCATCGACGGTTGCCCTGCATGTAGAAGGAGGCGAGAGTAAGTAAAGAGAACGTGTGGCAGATGCGACAGGAGAAGAGAGGGAGGAGGACGCACGAGCCAACGAGCTTGCCCTCGTTCTCGAGCATGATGCGCACGAGCTTGACGAGTAGCAGGCGGGTCTCGACCTTGCGCTGCGCGTCCTGCGCGCCGTCGTCGTCGCCGTGCCCGAGCGGCGCCGCGCCTCGCGCATAGTGCGCCTCCTGCTCGAGCTCGCCGATGCGCTGCGACAGCCACGCGACGGCCTCCTTGCGCTTCTTGCCCGCGTTGGCCTTGCCGCCGTCGGCAAAGATGGGGCCCGGGAACGTCGACGAGGCGCCCTCGGTGGCCGACAACGGCACGACGTCGGCGAGCTTGCGGATGTGGACGGTCGTGGGCGACGACGACGAGGACGACGACGAGGATCCGGCCGGCGCGACGACGCCGTACGGGTTCGAGCTGTCCATGCCGTACGATGGCCGGCCGCCGTTGGGGAACACGAGGACGAGCTTGCCGCCAAAGCCGAACGAGGCGATCGGGGCCGTCCGGCGCTCGAGGCCGAGGTCGACGGGAGGAGCGGCCGGGGTGGATCCGGGGCGCGAGACGGGCGCAGCGGCTTGCTGCGGCGCGTACGGGTTGTACGGCTGCTGCTGCTGCTGCTGCTCGCGAGCAGGTGGAGGGGGCTGGGCGTAGGGCGAGAACGAGTCGACGGGCCGGCTCGGCGGCGCGTCGTACGAGTTGGCTCGAGCCATCGACGACGCTGCAGGGGGCTGCGAAGGAGCAGCGTTGCGAGGCGACGGCGCGTAGCCCGACGAGGGCGCACCGCGCTGTTGGGGCGCAGGTGGCGTGGACGTCGACTCGCGCGAGGACACGTCGCGAGGGCGGTACTGGTTCGATGGCGGCGGCGCGTACGGGCTGCTGCGCTGCTGGCTCTGCGGCGCGTACGGGTCGTGCTGCTGCTGCTGCTGCTGCTGAGGCGGCCGAGGCTGGTAGCCCGACGAGATGTAGTCGTACCCGGCGGCGCGCCACTCGCCGCCGTACTGCGAGCTCGGCGTCGTCAGGCCCGTCTGGTCGTCGTCGTGCGGGTGGTACACGATCGAGTCGTCGCCGCCGAACTGGCTGTCGCCCGCCTGCGTCGTGGTCGTCGCCGTCGTCGCGTGCTCGTCCGAGGGCGACCCGGCGCCGTACGAGTCCTCATGCTCGGACGGCTCGGGCGTCTCCTCGATGCCGGCCATCGGCATGGGCGACGAGCGCCCGCCGGCGTACGCGTACGGGTCGTGGCGGCGGTCCGAGGGCCGCACCTCGGGGCTCGGCGCCTGGAACTGGAGCTGCGGGACCTGGCCGCCTCGGTCCGGCGACGCCGGCGGCTGCATGTGGGCAGGGATGCCGTTGCGAGGCGGCGCAGGCCCGCGCTGCTGCTGCTGCTGCTGTGGCGGTGGCTGCTGAGCGCGAGGAGGCTGCTGCTGCAGAGGAGGGCGAGCTTGGGCGGCCGGCGGCTGACCCGGCTGGCCGCGAGGTGGCGGCCCGGCACGAGCAGGCGGCGCCTGCCCCTTTGCTGGCGGCGGCGCACCTCCAGGCCCTCGCGGCGGTGGCCCGGCGCCGCCCGAGCGAGGCGGTGGAGCGCCGCCCTGCTGCTGCTGCTGAGGACGCTGCGGGGCAGGGCCGGCGCCCTGACGCTGCGGCGGCGGGCCCTGCGACCGCGCGTCGCGGTTACCGCCGAGCGACATGGCGGCGAGGTCGTCGGCGAGGTCGGGCTCGCTGCGGCGCGACGGCGGGGGCGCCGTGCGGGCCGACGGGTGGCCGCGCTGCGGCGGCGGCGGGCCACGCTGGTCGTGCTCCTCCTGCTTGGGCATGACGGGCTCCTCGGGCTCGGTCTTGGGGTCTGTACGCAGGTGGGCGAGGTATGTCAGTCACGGCGCGGGACCGACGATCGGCAGGAGAGAGAGAGAGAGATGGACGCACAGAACGGCGGCCTCGCAGTCGTCGGCGTTGTCGCCTGCATCCAGCTCGGCACGTGCTCCTGCGCCTCGTCGCCCTGACCGGCCTCGGCCTGCGGCAGCTCGTCCTCCTCGTCCTCCTCCTTGATCTGGTCCTCGACCGTCTTGGGCGGCTCGTACGAGCTCGTCGGCGGGCCCGACGGCAGCGCGCCGTACGGCGAGTCGCTCCCGAACGCCGACGCGCCGCGCTGGTGCGGCGCACGGGCGACGGGAGGGCGCAGGACCGACGCCGAGTCGGGACCGCCCTTGCGCTGCGACGGTGGGAGGACCGGCTGCGCCGGCGGCGGGGCGGCGTACGGCGACGCTGCCGCCGCAGGGGCACGCTTGGGCGTCGGCAAGGGCACGGGCGCAGGTGCGGGCGCGGGTGCGGGCTCGACGGCCGGGGCAGGCTTGCGCTGCGGCGGCTGGCGGCGCTGCTCTGGCTCGTAGTCCTGCGGCTGGCCCGCGACAGGCCGCTCGGCGGCGGCGGGCGCGCGAGCTGCACGAGGCTCGTCGTGCACCTGCCGAGGCGCCTGCTGAGGCTGCTGCGCCCGCTGAGGAGGCGGAGCGTTCCTCGGCGGCGGGACGTCGTACGCCGCGCCGGCCGACGGCTGCTGCCGAGGCGGCGGCGCCTGCTTCTGCGCCGACGCGGGCAGAGGCCTCGAGCGCGGCGGTGGCGAAGCGAGCGCGACGGCCGCCTCGGTGCGCGGCGACGCCATCTGCGACGGCGTCGTCTGCTTGGGCGACGGCGCGGCCGCCTCGACCTGGGCGCGAGCGGGCGTCGCCTGGAGCGGCGGCGGGACGTTGTTGCGCCTGGGCGGCGGCGCGGCGGCGGCGGCGGCGGCGGCAGGCGTCGCGCGAGGAGGCGGGGCAGCGGCGGGCGCCGGCTGCTGCTGCTGCTGCTGCTGCCTCGACGACGTGTTGCTCGCCGCCGACGACGACCGAGGCGGGGGCGACAGGGCCGTCGTGCGCGAGGGAGGCGCGACGCCCTGGTGCGCTTGCGGGAGCTGCTGCGCCTGGACGGGCGGCGACCGCGTCGACGAGTACGGGTCAAACGAGTCGGCCTTCTGCAGCGTCGGCGACGCGTACGGGTCGTACGCCGGCTGCTGTCGGCGCTGCTGCTGCGGCGCGCCTCGCGTCGGCGCGTACGGGTCGTGCGGCGGCTCGGTGTCGGCCGACTGACCGAACGACGAGAACGAGCTGTACTGCTGCTGCGCGAGCGGCGGCGAGTACGCGGCACGGGCAGGAGGTGGAGCTGCGGCCGCACGAGGCGCCGGGGCAGGTGCAGGGGCGGACGAGGCGGGCGGCGGCGGCGCGTACGGGTCGTAGGCCTGCTGCTGCTGCTGCTGCTGACCGTACGAGTCGTGCTGCGGCTGGTCCCACCCGCTCGGCGCGTACGAGTCGTCGGCGCGCGGCGTCGGCGCCCCGAACGGCTCCTGGCTCGCGCCGTACTCGTCCTCGCCGCCGTACGCGCCCTCGCCGCCGTACGCGTCGGGCGCGTAGCTGTCACCCGAGTAGCCGTGGCCCGACGAGTAGTCGTTCTGCTGCGGCTCCTGCTGCGGCTGCGACGACGGCTCGGGAGCGGCGTAGCCGTCCGAGGTGAACGCGCCGTAGCCGTCGTCGGCGTACGGGTCCGAGGCGTACGGGTCGTTGGCGTACGGGTCGACGTCGTCTTGCTGCGACGGGGCCGACTGGTGCTGATGCTGGTTCTGGTCCTGGTCGCCCGCCTGCGCGCCGTACTCGCCGCCGCCGCCGCCGGCGTTGTAGTCGCCGTAGTCTTGCTGGGCGTACGCGCCGTAGCCGTCGTCGGCGAACGCGCCGTAGCCGTTGTCCTCGTACTGGTCCTGCTGCTGCTGCTGGTGTTGGTCGTGACCGTACTCGTGCTGCTGGGCGGTGTCGTCCTGCTGGCCCTGCGCGGCCTCGTCCGGGTTGTAGTTGGGGTCAGGGTCGTACGAGTTGGTGTGCGGGTTGTAGACCCAGCCGGGGTAGTACGGCGCCTCGAATTGGCCCTGCTGCTGCTGCTGCTCGTGGAGGTGGCCGTACGACGACGAGTCGGCGCCGGGGTCGTCGAAGCCGCGGTCGTTGCGGCTCATCTCGGGCGACGACAGGGGCTCGTCCTTCTCGCTGACGGTACTCAGCGAGTGGCCGTGGTGCTCCTGGTACGGCGCGCCGTAGTACTGCTGCTGCTGCTGCTGAGGGTGCTGCTGAGGGTGGTGGGCCGAGGACGAGGTTGCAGGCGAGGGGGCGTAAGGGTCGTGCGGCTGCTGCGGGTAGTGGTGTTGGTCGTGCTGCGGAGGGCCGTAGGAGTACCCTTGGCCCTGTCTGCTCATCTGCGGCGAGGGGGAGGTTGCCGTCAGAGTCGGGCTCCACGTCGAGGGGGCGGCAACGAGAGGGGGGGAAAAAGAGGGGACGCACGAAGGCGAGACGGGCTCGGCTGGGTGGATGATGGAGGCTGTCTAGTGCGCGCGACCAGCCAGGTGGACGCGCGAGCGGTGCGGAGAGCAGAGCCGACCTCTAGAGCTCTCCTCCTCCCCTCCTCCTCCCTCTCACTCCTCGTCGTCACGACTGTCCGCTTCAGCGCTCTCTTTGCTACGGCTTGCAGGCTCACCGCCTTCGTCATCCTTGCTCGAGACTGTGCGGCCAAACGCCGGGGCTCGCTCAACCGGTCTCTCGTTGCTTTGCCCCTCTCGCGTGAGCGCCTGCTACGAGCACCCGGGCGAGACGGGCGGCGCTGCTGTTTCGTCGTCGACGACGGGCACCGACTCGAAGCCTGGTCCTGGAAACGACGACAAGCCCTGTGCGTCCTCCTCTCTCTCCCTCTCCCTCTCTTTGCCCGCCGGCGACCGTCGACTGACTCTCTCTGTCGCCCGCCACAGCGATCAAGCCGTCCAAGAGCTGGCTCGGCGGGTGGTTCAAGCGCGAGCCGAGTCCGGCCAACGGCCCGGGCCCAGTGCGGGCCAACCTCGGCGAGAAGACGAGCCTGTACTACGACGAGAAGGCCAAGCGGTGGATCAACAAGGGCGACAAGGTCGAGGCGCCACCGACGATCGTGCCGCCTCCTCGTGCCGCCACGGCATCGCCGAGCAAGGCCCTGCGCAACAGCAACTCGAGCCGGTTCGGCGCAGGCGGCGGCGACAACATCCCGCCCGTCCCGTCGATGCCGCCTCGCTCTCAGACCACGGGCCCGCCTCCTCTCTCGCGTTCAGCAACGAGCGCCGACTTGCGCAGCGACTCGCGCCCGCCGAGTCGGTCAGGCGGTGCGACGCCTGTCGAGGGTGGCGCACGAGCAGGTCGGCGCAACAAGCCCAAGTACGTCGTCGCCGCGCCGTAGAACGAGCTTCTCGCAACTCGATACACTCTTGGTCCGTCTCTGTTTCTCTCGAGGAGAGCGAGAGTTAGAGCTGCGTTAGCGAGAGAAAGAGGATGAGCAGCGACGAGCGGGTCGACCTTCTCAAACCGCGTGGAGCTCAGGCTCGAGCACAGCGACGGCCACTAGAGCGAGGCGGCCTTCTCTGCCTCCTTCTAAGACGCGAGGGAAGAACGAGTGTGCGACGATAAGAAGGAGAGAAAACGAGGGAGGGAGAGGGAAGGGAGGCTAGGAAAGACGCCGCACGGACCCTCTGTCTACTCGCGCCCGCCCGGCTCTCAGTCCCTGCCGCTCTTCTACACCCCTCCCTCGTGCGCAACCGCCTCGCCCAGCTCCCGCACCCCTTCGAGCAGCTCGTCGACGAGCCGCGGGTCCATGAGCCCGTCGTCGACGCCGAGGCAGAGCGTCACCTGCCCGTCCCACGTGAACGCCTCGAGCAGCATGCCCTCGCCGCGGTGCAGGCGCGTGCCGATCGCGACGTCGTGCAGGCGGAGCGTCGGGCCCGACGAGGAGGAGGTCGAGGAGGAGGAGGATGAGGAGGAGGGGGAGGGGAGGGCGAACGAGGTCGGGAGGAGGCGGTCGACGTCGCCGATCACTGCGAGGGTCGAGCGTCAGGTTCGTCGCGTCGGCGAGGAGGAAGAAGAGGGGACGGGACGCACTGCTCGCGTTGAGTGCCGTACGCGGCTCGTTGTACGGGATCGGGTTGCGGCCCGTGCCGTTCCTGTTCCTCGTCGAGCTCGTCCTCTCAGCACGCCGGTCCAGAAGGGAGGAAGGGAGGGGAAGGAAAGAGAGAGAGGGACGCACAAGAGCCGGTCGAGGATCATGGTGTACATGCCCGCGACGAACACGGTCCGCCTCGTGTGCTCCTGCGAGAGGAGCCTCGCAAACTGGGCTTTGGCGAGCCGAGCGCCGCGCAGGACCGTTGCGCCCACGAGGGCACGCTGTGCCGGGTCGGTCGGCGCGTCGAGCGCGAGGGCCGGCATGGCGATGCACCCGAACGTGATGCGGATCGCGCAGTCGGTGGCGGGGTCGCTGCTGCCACGGGGAGCGTGCGCAGGGTCGTCGGCGGCGGCGCCGGCGTCGACGGGAGGCGGCGTGCGCTGGAGGAAGGGGCGGGCGGAAAAGGGGAAGCCGAGGACGACGGGGTGGTACGGCTTGTCGGCGTGTACTCGGCGAAAGATGCGCGCGACCGAGAGCGAGATGAGCGAGTAGAGGAGCATGCCTGCGAACGGGCGAAGAATGTCAGCTCGTCGCGCCCGAGCACGAGAGGGCAGGAAAGGAGAGAGGTGTGCGCACTTGGAGAGATGCCCTCGGTCTTGCAGAGGCGGATGAGCCGCTGCGACGTCTCGCGCTCGAACCGCAGCTGCGGCCACCGGTTCCTCGCCTGCGGCGGCGGCGTCGGCGCTTCGAGTCGAGGAAAGTACAGGGTGCGCGGGAAGCGTCGTTGGCGCGCCATGATGAGCGTGCGCGTGATGGCCCACAGCCACCGTCGCCGGGCCGTCGAGGCGGGCACAGGCGGCGCGGGAGGAAGGGAGGTGGTGGACGACGGGTTCTCGGTCGGCTGGACGGGAACGGTCGGCGTCGGGCTCGACAGCGGGATCGACGGGTACAGCTCCTCGTTGGCGAGCGGCAGGTGCGACGCGAGCTCGTTCTCGGGGAGGACGACGCGCCATGCCGTCGCGACGTCGGCCGGGACGTCCCACGCCTCGACCTCGCGCGTACCGTCGAGGAAGGACGACAGGGAGAGACACGGCGCCGACGAGGGCGCCTCAGGTAGCTCGGGCGACGAGGCGAGCGAGAAGAGCTCGTTGACGAGCTTGAAGACGGACAGGCCGTCCGAGATCTGCGGCGACGGTGGTCCGCAGTGAGCGCGCCTGTGGCCGAGAGCTGCCCGGAATAGAGCGAGGGAGCAAAGCGACGCACCACGTGCGAGATGACGAGGACGAAGCCGAGCTCGAGCGGCTCGCGCTCGCTGCGCACGACGACGAGGCGCGCGAGGCACTCGTCCTGCGCGAGGAGCGCTCGCGGTCCGTTCAGGACGTAGCGGTCCTGCACCTCGTCTGCCGCCGCCTGCACCGACTCGCCGTCCTCGACCGAGTGCACGAGAAGCGTCTGCGCGGCTTGCGACAGGGCCTCGGCGGCGTCGAGCGGCGGGACGAGGACGAACTCGCGCGAGTCGACGAGCGGGATCGGCGCGTGCTTGCCTTGGGGCGCGTCGCGCACGGTGCAGGCGAGGAGCGGGTGCTTGGCTCGGAGGGACGCCCAGGCGAGGAGCAGGCGCGACAGGAAGGCGGTCGTGGCGGCGTGCGGCGGGTCGAGGTTGAGGTCGAGGGTGAGGGCGAGGCGGACGAACGTGTCGCTCTGGCCGTCTCGCTGAGTCGCCTTGTCGAACTTGGCCTCGAGGATGCCGAGCGCGCGCGTCCACTGCTGTCGTCGGTTTTGCGGGAGGTCGTCGTCGTCGTCACCGGTCGCGAGTGGAGGAGGAGGCGGTCGGCGGTCGGCGGCGGTTGCGGGCGAGAAGGGCTCGCTGGACCAGCGGTGCCCGGCGAGGTACCCAGGCCACGTCGAGAAGCTCATCGAGCGTGCGAGGCGAGGGGCAGAGGAGCAAGTGCCACGAGCCAGATCTCTCATCTCTCGCCCGGCCGGCCCGACGGCGCAGTCTCACAAAAACACAAACGAGTTGCAGCACGAAAGGCCTCACAGCCTGGCCTTGTTCGGCTGCCGCGGGTACGTCTTCTCGAGGAACTGTAGCAAGTGCTGCGCCGCGTCGTCCGGCTTCTCGTGCACGAGGAGGTGGCCCGCGCCCTCGACCCTCGACCACGAGGCGTGCGGAATGGCGTCGCGCAGGACCCAGGCGATGTTGTCCTCGTCGACGACGGACCGACCCTTGTCGGCCCAGATAAAGTGCGCCGGCAGCGACGCCGGGATAAGCTGCAGCCGGGTGGCGGCGCGGCGAGCGGCAACCGCCATCGGGTCCATAAAGGTGAGCTGTCGCGCGAGGGAACGACGGCGTCAGGTGCCGGCTCGTGCGTGACGAGAGCGAGAGAGAGAGACGTTGGGCTCACCGCCTCGTTCCTCGCCGTCACCTTGAGCGCGACGCCGTCGGCGACGTCGACGAGTCCATGCTCGACGTAGCCCTCGAGCACGCGCGGGTCCCAACTCTGGAAGAACGGCTTCTTGACGAACCCGTCTCGCGCCTCGGCCCTCGTCTTCCACGTCTCGCGTCGCATGAGCGCGCCCGTCGTGAGGCGCGTCATGGCGCGCGTGCTGTTGCTCGGGTCGGGCAGGACCGGGTCGACAAACACGAGCGACGAGAAGAGGGCGGGCAGGGCCGATGCGGCGTAGGCGGTCGCGCCGCCCCCGAGAGAGTGGCCGATGCCGACGATGAGGCGGCCGCGGTAGGTGCGAGCGGCGGCGAGTGGTGGGCCTGGAGGCAGAGACGGCTGGTTGTCGAGGAGGTGCAGGTGGGCGGGGACGTCGGGCGCCGGGCTGAGCAGGCCAGTCGACGAGGACGGCGAGTCGCCGTACGAGAGGATAAAGTTGAGCAAGTCGCGACCGTGATCGGCCCAGTTGACTGCGCCAGGAGAATGCCGGGTCAGTCGGCGACAGCGGGACGAGGACGCAGGAGGGAGACAGGCTCGACGCACAGACCTCGCCCAGCACCGGCTCGTTCAGGACGCCCGCATCTCCCTGGTTGATGCAGTCGAGCGCCCACACCTCGTCGATCGGCAGCGACTTGCCGCCGACCTCGGCTCGCTCGAGCAACGTCGCGAGGAGCGGCTCCCACACCTCTGCGTGCGGGACGAACAGGGTCAGCTCCCGCGCGCTCGCCGCTTCCCACTATGCAGAGAGAGCTTGTGCGCACCTCTGTAGAAGCCGTTGGCGTGCGAGAACACGAGCGTGAGCCCTCGTTGCTCGCCCTCGCCGCTCCTCCTCGCCGTCGCCGCCGGGCGGTACCGGTTCGCGACCGTGACGAGCTGCTCCTGCTGGTCAAGCTCGTGCGTGTCGTCGACGCTGATCGGCTGCTTGAACGCCTCGACCTGGGGCGCGACGAGCGTCGCGAGGGCGCGCTCAGGGTCGGCGCGCTGGCCGGTCGCCGGGTCGACGGCCGGGTTGATGCGCAGCTCGTGCGGGTGCTTGGTGCTGTGGGCGTACGAGCGCGGGAACGCAGCGGGGACGATGACCGTCTCGCAGACCCAGCCTGGGTGGATGGGCGGTCGAGGGCGAGTTGTGGTGCTGCCTCCGAGGTCGATGGAGAGCGGCTTTGGTGGGAGGAGCGGCAGCAAGGGCCCGCTCAGGGGCTTGGCCTGCTGCTCGATGTCGGCGGCGAGCATGGTGGTAGCAGCAGGAGGAGCAGAGCAGCAGTTGGCTGAGCGAGACCAGACGACCTCTCAGCGACCGGCCCGCGGCACGGCGGACCCGGCTACCTCTACCGACTGCGTCGAGCGCTCTCGCCGTCCTGCACGGTGCGATAAAAGGGATCTATTCACATCAGTCTACAGCGTCGTGCCGTCCTTGCGGTGCAGCGCGTCCCGCCCCGACCCGCCGCCGCCGCCGCCGCCGCTCTGACCCGTCACCTCCTCGACCGCCTCGTGCGCATCCACGTCCCGCACGTCCCTCTTCCTTGCCGCCCCTCCCCCTCCTCCACCGCCACTTTGGCCCGCCCTACCGCCCGTCCCCGCCCCAACCGGCCCCGCCCTCCACCTCGTCGCGCTCGTCAGGTTGTCGTCCCTCGTCGCGCGCGCCGAGCGCAGGAAGAGCTGCGACCGGCGCGCGCGGATGAGGCGCACCCAGCAGATGGCCGTGATGCCCATCATGAGAGACGCCATCGATGTGACGGCCCAGTAGAAGGCCGACGGGTGCTCCTCGAGGCCGCTCGAGAGGTTCATGCCTGTGCGCGCGAGGGACGAGCGGGGCGGCGCAGTGAGCGACTCGGTCGCTCCGGGCGGCGAACGAGGCACAAGAGGGAGAGAGAGGGCGGGAGAGAGGGACGGACCGAAGAAGCCTGCGACCGTCGCACCGGCACCGAGCGCCAAAGTCCCGATAGCAGTCTGCGCGCGAGATGAGGCCCGAGTGAGCGAATTTGCGCCTTTTTGAGGCTCGCGGGTGCACGAGAGAGAGGCAGGGAAGGATAGAACGCCCGAAAAGCGACCTACCTGCAACTCAAGATTCTGTAATCGTACGCGGGTGCTTGCGAGCACCAGGGAGATATTGTTGTCGACCTCGGAGAGCAAAGTAGACAGGCGCTCGCACGACTCGCTCGTTTCGTCGAGGCGGCGCTCGTCTTTGGGTGGGAAGAGAGCGGCGAGTCAGTCTGGGGTGTCGGGAGGGAGGAAGGGACGGGGGGAGCGACGCACAGTACTCTAGAAGCAGCTCGGCCTGCTGGTGGTCGTCGATCGAGCGCTTGACGCCGTTGACCTTGTCGGTGAGGTACATGTTGGCGAGGTCCTCGTCTGCGAGTCGGGCGGACGAGGGCGAGTCAGTCAGGGACGGACGAGGCCTTCGTCCCGCGTCTCTCTCGCCCGAGACGCACACAGAGAGAGAGAGAGAGGGTGAAGCGGACGCACCCTCGCCAAGGACGGTCGACAGAGCGCTCTGCATTGCGCGCCCGCTCATCAAGCAGTCCTCGACCGTGCGCTTGCACTCGAGGAGGTCGCGCAGCTCTGCCGGACTGACGCCAAACCTCAGCTGCGGGATGGTACGGTACACGCGCTCCTGGAGCTCGGTGACGACGTTGCGCACGCCGCGCGCCGTGAGGAGCAACAGGGCCTCGAGCGCGCGCAGCTCGAACGGGGGCACGTTGTCCTGGCCGGTCGCCGAGCCCGACAGCTCGAGGTACCGCATGACCTGCTGCATGGCGCGCGCGAGGTCGACGCTCTGGTCCGAGGTGCAGATCGGGTTGTGCTTGTCGGTCGTGATGAGGACGACGCTGTCGGACGCGATGATGGCGCGCACGACGGGCGTGCACAGGATGAGGGACCGCTGGCAGACGACGAGGGCCGGGCGGACGTCGAGGATGTGGGCGTCGAGCGAGCGCAGGTCGCGAGGCTGTCGAGGTGGAGGAAGGGTCAGTTGCGCGGTTGAGCGAGGCGACGAGGTGAGGACGCACCAGGAGGCCGTACTCGTTGATGACGTCTTGCTTGTTGAGCTTGTCCTCGGGCTGCTCAATCTCGCCGTCTTGCCGAATGATGAGGTCTGCGCGAGGAGAGGGAGAGGGGGAGAGGGAGAGGGGGAGAGGGAGAGAGTGATAGGGTCACGGTGGCACGTGAGAAGGCCGAGGCCGATACGAGGAGGCAAGGGGGAACGGTGCGCGGGAGATCCGCACGACGACAGTCCTCTCGGTCCGCGTGCCCTTCGACTGGAGCGGGAAATGCTTGTGCCCGTCGGATACGGTCTGTCTGCCGTACTGGA